AATGCATCCTTTGCTTCCATGGATTGCAAAGTAAGTTTTCACACTTTGACTATCTACAAAGCTGATTTTGTTACCTTATAGTGGATGGCTCTTTGTGCTCATATGGGCATAGAGGGTTTCTATGTAGCGGTTCGAGGTAGTATTGAAGATCTTTCAGAACCCAAGGTCTTTTTTACTCAGAAGGCTGAAAAGTTTGCGAAGGATATCCTCAATGTGGAGCCACATCATCTAGGCTTGAAACTCGAGTCTTTCATTGTGAGCGGCCTCAGTAAGTCTTAATTTTGTTTTGTCAATCCTCAAGCTAATGTCTCATGCAGATCAACATGCTGCTCCTCGTCAACGTCCTTTGAACAAACTGATCAGTGATTGCCGCACCATGATCCAGGAAGAACTCGGTGCATTTTTTCAGCTCAATTCATTAAACACACTCATCTCCTACTCCTTAGATTCAATTTCCCTGGAAAACAACATCAAGAGTTCTATCAAGATGAATTATACTAACTACGAGCGGAACATAGTCGAACGCCGCAACTTCGTGCTTGTTGGCTGGCCATTAGGTGGGCCAGTTCGAAATCCCTCCAAGGTTGGTGGAAGATCTGGGGTAGAAAGTTTGTTGAGGGTGCTTCATCAGGGAAGCTGTCACTGGGTAAAGTTAACTGACACAGAACTATATGCATGAATGAAGGATAATAGGGCACGTGCGGCCAGAGGAGAACCTGTTTATGTGGCAAGGAAGAGAAGAATACAGCCTCCTTGAAGAATGGTGGCACAGACATGGTTATGTCCTCTGATGGAAGCTCGAGCTCTAGCAAGGGAAGCTCTAGTGATTTGGATTAGTAGTGCACAGTAGTTTTAGATCTTTTGTTTTTGTGAATGGATTGGTACTTAAACATATCATTTTGTATAAGTTTGTGGATTGTATGTAGGTAAAAATATGTCTAATAAGTATGTAGGGATGGTATATACAAGGAAGCAAAAAAGAGCGCTCTAAAATAATGAAATTTGAGGTATATTTTGTGGTCATTGTGTGCAACGACGAGCACAAAGGTTTGGTCGTCGTGGGAAACAAGGAGGAAGCTTGGGAAAGTAGCGCTGTCACGTTACAGGTACCTGACATAAGCTCTTATCATATCTACTGATTATATTGTATGTTATTTAGCAAAACTTCTCCAAAGTCAGTGCTGAGTGTCGGGAGAAGTAAACACGGAGATGTCAGGATGAAAGGTACGAGCGCATCCATCATGCAGCCGCTCGTGACAGTCGGCTGAGTGCCAAAGGTCTTAAACTCATTTACTATTTTCTTTCCTATTTTCCCCGTGTCCCCATAGTTTAAAACAACTGTCCTAGCCATGTGCAGCATCTCAGTCTCTTCCCGATACTGAGATGTAAGCCCTATACATTGTTTCCTTTCCATTTCATACGAGCTAATATACCCTTAGAATATATTTGCTTGTCTAGGTGCCTATCTATGTACATGCAGAGTCTCTTCCCGATACTGAGATAATATATTTGCTTGTCTAGCTCCATTCCTCCCGCGTCCGCGTGCGACTTAGAACGACACTGAGTGCTGCGGAAATCGCTGAAGTACTGCAGCATAGGATTTCCCCCCTAGTTAGTAACAGACATCACATCACATGTTTCTTACTAATAAGGGACGTTTATGGTGACACACAGGTGCGCAGAACTTAAAGCTTAAGCGCGAAAGGAAAATGCGGAGATCGAAATGAACAGGAGCCTCAAGAAGCGTCACTTATTTGCGGCTGGTACCGCACCGGAGACGTCGGCATCATCGAGAATGGGATCATGCGCCTCAGCGGTCGCATCAAGGACACCGTCATCGTCCACGGTGTCTCGTACGGCATCCCTGAGCTCGAGACTCACCTCCAGACCGTAGAAGGAGTGACTCACTCGTTCCTCGGTGCAGCTCTGTACCGTGCTCCTGGTCAGGAGACGGAAGGGTTCATCATTTTCTACTCGCCAACCTTCGACCTCGATGGAGTAGACGCTTCGTCAAAGCTGTTCGCCACTCACCGGGCCCTTCGGGACATCTGCTTGAAAATGATCACGCTGCCGCCTCAGTTCGTCGTTCCCATCCCTGTGAACCAGATGGAGAAGACCACTCTCGGTAAACTGTCTCGTGCACGTTTGATCAGTCTGTTCAAGCAAGGCCAGCTCGCGAAGCACATCGCTCGCTCGGAAGAGCTTCTGAGCGAGGCACGCGGCGCTACGTTCGTCGCGCCGTCAACGGAGACGGAGAAGGCGCTTTCCAAGATATATGCTGGGATCTTCAACCTCGCGGAAAGCGAGATGTAGCGACAACTTCTTCGAACTCGGCGGTACCTCCATTGATGTCATCAGGTCAGTACATACTTCCAGCTCTAAAATGACTCTCACTAATGCATATCATCTTCAGGCTTAAGCGCGAGGGAGAGGCACATTTCGACCTTCCTGAGATCCCCACCATCCAGGTCCTTAAGCACCCCGTCATCTCGAGCCTCGCCAACTATGTCGACTCCCTGCTCTCCAAGGACAGTCAGACTGAAGAGCACGACCCTATCGTTCCCCTTCAGCTGACCGGAAACAAAACTCCGATCTTCTTCGTTCACCCCGGTGTCGGAGAGGTCCTGATTTTCGTCAACCTCGCGAAATACTTCCAGAACGAGCGTCCGTTCTACGCTCTCCGTGCTCGTGGCTTCGAGCCCGGCCACCCCTTCTTCACCTCTATGGACGAGATGGTGTCGTGCTACGCCGCAGCAGTCAAGAGGACCCAGGCGATTGAACCATACGCCATCGCGGGCTACAGTTACGGCGGTGTCGTCGCGTTCGAGGTTGCCAAGCGACTCGAGGCGATGGACGAGGAAGTCAAATTTGTTGGTCTGATCAACATCCCTCCTCATATCGCGGACCGCATGCACGAGATCGACTGGACGGGCGGCATGCTCAACTTGTCGTACTTCCTCGGTCTCGTGTCGAAGCATGATGCTAATGATCTCGCGCCCGCTCTGAGGCCGATGACGAGGAAGGAGCAGCGCGAGGTTGTATGGAAGTTGTCTCCTCCTGACCGTCTCGTCAAGCTCCAGCTGACTCCTGAGAAGCTGGATCCCTGGGTGGCCATCGCCGGATCCCTGATCGAGTGCGGGAAGGACTACAACCCATCAGACTCAGTTTGTATATCATTTCCTTTCTAACTTCATAATCGCTTGCTCATATGCCGTGTCTCTTCAGCTGCTACGGACGTTTTCTACGCCATTCCTCTGCGCGGCAGCAAGTCAGACTGGCTCAACAACCAGCTCAAGCCATGGTCTGGGTTCAGTCGTGGCGAGCCATCATAAGCGGACGTGCCAGGGCAACACTACACGTTGATGGACTTTGACCACGTACCACAGTTCCAGAAGATCTTCCGGGGTCGTCTCGAGGCCCGTGGCCTGTAAAAATTTAGATTGGCGTATCATGTTTATATCTGTCTTTCGCCAGTATCTATTCAACTACTTACACTCGGAGTATATCAGGATGTGTTTCATACCTAGTAATTCACTTGACTAATTACGTCGTCATGCATCTATCGTTGTCTTATAACAAAAATCGATCATAGAAATGATTTTTTGCATTTTCTCATGATATCTGGTGCTCTGAGCCCACCGTTTTTAGAGCAACACATGAAAACACGATTAACATTCTACGACAATTGCGGTTAATGTGCCTTGGTCACGCCATCAAGTGTTTGCTTGAATTCTTCTCACTACTTTGCCAGACCGTTTGCGATCGTGTCCTATATCACTTGATTTGTGTTTTTTGTTGCACTTTGGCCATCGAGGTACTTGATTTATTTCAGGAGGCGTTGCCAAATACGATACACCGTGACCATCTACCACCAACACGGTGACTTATTGTGAATTTTGGTTGTTCAGGCTTACTGTGCACTTCTATGATAAACCTGGACGTTCCCCGGCTCCTACGGAGTACATGCGATCAACAGGCTGGCGATGATATGACTGACTGGTAAGACATTTGTTTCAGGGCCGCTGGTAGTTAGATTTTATTTTGCGCTGAGCGGTAATCATTTTTACCGCGAAAAATACCTCTGGTGCGTCTCCAGTGCACGGTGACGTGCTTGCTCACGTTAATGCTGATAACAAAAGTGCTTTGCGAGTGCATAAAAAACCCAGTCCCTTTTGAATGGAAAATATTGTAACTCGCGAGAGTCCAGATGGTTTAGCAGCTCTGACGACAAATTTTTCTGCAGGACAGTGCCCGTAAACAACGTCCAAGTTATGGGGTACCGGGTAACACAAACAAATGGGGCAGGGCTGTGCCATGAACAGAATAATTGTGGATAGTCATATTTAGCAATGTTAGAGCAATAGCTCTTCATATGCAGGACGTACTCGCCAGGTGTAGCCGACGAATCATGGACTCTGCGCACTAGCACGCGGGTGGACAAAAGCTTCAACTCGACCTCAAGACAGGTATTATGATGAGTTGAATCCAACTCATGAATGCGCTCGCATGATGCTCATGTTTGCGAGTCGGAGGATGGGGAAAGAGAAGGCTGTATACTGCTTCGCAGGCCCTTAGGGTCGTCGCCTGCCAGGAGAACATTTGGCTGGCTGGATCTAGTTCCGAGAACGAGTTGTGTAGGTAAGTGGCTCAGGCACAAGAACGGCCTTCTTGTTCATGGACTGAGGACCTGTGTGCTTGCGCCACATCATGGAATGTCAGTAAGTCAAACATCAGATAGTCAGTCATATTAAGACGTTACGGATATGTGAACAACTTGGTGAAAAAGTTTCAAAAAAGTTGAACAAGTCACGTTTGAATTCCGGAATACTATCGTGAAGTTAACGCTAGCATCACAGATTGATGACAGATGGGCTTCCGTCACGGTCTTGGCCTATTTGGTAGAGTGATGAATTTCCCAAAGATGAAAGAAGCACATTGTTGGCTTACAGGAGAACAAGTCTTAACTCCCTATGGTCGCGATACCGAAGAAATTCGGACGGATTCATCTCACATCCTTCCTCAAACGCAGAAGTAGTGCTATCTTCTAGCATAGATATAACCTTGTTTGCACTTTCAGACTTCCGTTGTCGGGATAGTAGTGCTGGCTGGTGGCAGAATTTTTTATGAGGAATCGTGCTGGCACAACCGGCAGAATTGTGTCCGTCGTGTGAGGTGTTATCAACTACCATTATCTCGCCAACAGACTTTGGTGGAAGACGTGCATGTGCACATTCGGGTGTCGACGAATTGGCTTGGAATCCCTTGGCAACGACCTACTATTGGCAACGAAGATTTGCTCGAATTTTTGCCAGTGATTGGTTCAAGCGTGTCCGATGCCAAGAGGTTGCAGACTGAGTGTTGCCCACATCCAAAAAAAGGCATTCAACGTCAGCGGCGTAAGCAATAGTTCATAAGAGGGTGGTTGCAGTGAAAAGGGCATCTTTCGCTGTCACGGTGAACCCCTGGAGTAGTTTGATAATGATTCTGCCGGATTCTGCCTACAAAATTCTGCCATGCTGCGGGCAGAACTAGTTCTGCCAAACCAGCTGACATAATTTCTGCCCACAACACTGATAGGAATAAGGCTGCATGGTTTACGGTGGCCAGGTACCAGTGCCCGCTCTCAGAGAGTTAGTACCACGGCCTACACCACCAGCTGCCGCTTTAGGCCGTAGCGATATACTGAGAAAACTATTCACAACACCCGGCAACCAAGGTTGAAGATAGATATGGTACATAAATAAATAAATAATGCTGTGGAGCTAATAGCAACGTCATATATATAAGGACTGATAGCTTAATGGTATATCTTTGTTGTGAACTTACAACGCTCCAAGCGGAATGCGTGGGTTCAAACCTGCCGTATTTCATTTTGAATTTTTGTTTACTTTTTTCAGAACGCTGCTAATAGTGGTATATATCTTGTATAGGCTGCTTCCCAGCTCTCGAATAGCTCGAAACCAAATCTCACACAGATGGTGAAAAAATTATATTATAAATATATCTCAGGGCTAGTGTGGGGGGCAAAACTACTTGGGGTCAGTTTTGCCGGTTGCAACCGGCAAAACTGGTTGTTTTGCCAAGTGGCGAAACTCTAGGCTATATATGTGTATGACATTCCTAATGAAGACATCAATCATGGAAATCAAAAGCATTTTCCTCCAGCACTTCAACTTCGTTAATGTTCCGAACTTCTTCAGTCTGTGGCAGGATGTCATCTGCGTCACAAGGTTTGGTCAAGAGCGGAGCCCACGCAAAAGTACTTCAAGATCCTGTGCACTCTCGACAGCAATGCCAACCTCTTGAGTGTGTACTAGGCTATATGATCAGAGAATGTGCGCTCTGCTTTGCCTGCATGACTCTGGAATCGAGAGAATCATCACAGTAAAGGCCTTGAGTATGTGAATTTCATGTAGGGCTGCAGGTTATCAGAAAGTGTTTTCGCTATCATTATATCCCAATCATTTCAGCACTTTGCAACTTGAATGCCAAGTGTAACCTTTGAGTTCTAGGCGCTTGAAATTGTCCATATTCATCAATGATGTAAGTGGGTGTCCTCCACCATGGAACATCTTGCTTTAAAGCTTTAGGGACAATGTTCTATTGAATTTTAAGGTATATTTTATCAGATTTAAGTTACATCTCTGCGAGTTTTGCCAAGTTGTGCCACCCCCGTTTTGCATGAGTTTTGCCGATCACCGGGCACAACCGGTCTGGCACAACCAGTTGGCAAACTCAGCTGTTTTGCCAACAACACTACTCAAGTACTCAGGCCCAGTGAAAATCGACAAGAAGGGGAGGGATATGTACCGATAGACATCGAAAACATAGACCACTTTGTGGATACCTGCTTTGAGGTTGCTGATGTCCATGATAGTAGGAGCAAGGGACTTTGTGCAAACATTGTGATCGAGTGTGAGTGTATATCTGTGTATGTGTAATGTTGTGCAATGAGTTGGAAAATGCAAGTTTGTCGCAAACAATCCTTGCGTTTACTTGCATTTTCGAACTTTGCACAATTCGTTGCATTTTGTATTTTTGACATCTCCAATTTCTTAGATTTCTATCTATTTGCTTCTGTCCTTCGACGTCTATTGCCACGTATCCCTCCCCTTCTTGTCGATTTTCACTGGGACTCAGGGCTCATTGACACCTTGACCATTTTTGGGCTCTCCAATAGGTTTTTGGCAGTCGACGGTGTAATCGGGGATACTTGATTCAGATGATTAACAATTCGAAAACGATCAATGATTACATAACTTGAGGATCGTCTTTACACCCGACACTGTACTATGCATGTGGGCTTTCCTGAGTATCGCGCGAATTCCAGACCCTTCCGATACACAATTGAGCATTTGCGTACAAGCAAGGCATATGTTAGCACCTGTGCATATATAAGAAAGCTAGTGAGTGCTCAACGTCCTAGAGTATCACTGCTTTAGAATTTACCTTGCAATGGCACCCGTCGCAGCCTCTTCCACCACCTTCAAGTCCTTTGTTACCTCTCCACAACCTAATACTCTCCACGACGTCATCACTCAAGCTGTTGACCGTTATCCGTCCCACGAGCTTGATTTCATAACTTCCTCAGCACATGACTCCTCCATTCAGACGAAGACCTTCAGAGTGTTCAACCATTATGTTCGCAATCTTGCACGTGCCATGCTAGAGTGGGGCAAACCCACACGTTCAGTCGTCGTCGTGTACCTGACGGAGCACGAAGACAATATGGCAGTTGTATGGGCGTGTTTGTTGGCCGGCTATGTGCCCTTCTTCCAGCCTGCACTTAGCGCGCACCAGGCCCACAAAGAGGGCCATGTCGCCCACATCAAGAATTTGTTTGGGTCTGCTATTTGGTTGACCGACGAACTTGGGGCCGAGCATATCAGCACGATTTCCAGTTTGGAGGTCCACCTACTCTCCGAATTAAAGGCGTCGGCGGAGACATTCAACGTCTCAGCTGACTGGGTTGCATATGACGCTAAGGCAGACGACGAGGCGATCCTGTTCTTGACCTCAGGGTCGACTGGATTCTCGAAGGCGGTCGTGCACACGCACCGCACAATTATTGCTGCATGCCGTGCGAAGGGCCAAAGCCTCGGCTTGACATCCAAATCTCGATATTTGAACTGTAAGACACACGTTGCTTAACTTTATTCTTAAATTGATCATGACTTTCAGGGGTCGGATTTGATCACGTCGGAGGATCATTGGAAATGCACATCACGCCTCTACTATGTGGCGCCTCGCAACTCCATGTGCACGTATCTGTTATCCTTGCTGACCCCCTTCGGCTGCTCCGTCTGATCGACGAAAAGGCATGCCAAAATTCGACCATAGCTTGATGTGTCTCTTATCATTCTATTTATAGTCAATCGAAATCACTTTTGCCCCGAATTTCCTGCTCTCCAAGCTCACTCGTGATCTGGAAAAGCGCACCGAGCTCTTCGGATGCTTCGACTTATCCTCCATCAAGCGGATCATCAGTGGAGGTGAAGCTGTTGTTCTCAAGACCGCCCAAGCGTTTGTTGCTACCATGAAGCAGCTTAGCAAGAACCCCTCCACTGTATCGTTCATTCTCTCTCCTGGGTTTGGAATGACAGAAACATGGTAAGACTAATTAAACCATACGGGTATCTAGACAAATTGATGAGGATGCTGCAGTGCCGGATGCATTTACCATCTCACGGATGTGCTCGCAACCGAGACTGCTCGTGAGTTCCTTGATCTCGGGAGACCCATCGATGGTTGCGAGATGCGCATCGTTGACCCCGCAGACGGCTCGACCCTGCGCCCTGACGGAAAGAGCGGCGAGCTCCAGGTTCGCGGACCGATGGTATTTGTACGCTACTACAACAACGCAGAGGCTACGTCCTCCAGCTTCGTCGATGGGGGCTGGTACCGCACCGGCGACGTCGGCATCATCGAGAATGGGATCATGCGCCTCAGCGGTCGTATCAAGGACACCGTCATCGTCCATGGTATCTCGCACGGCATCCCTGAGCTCGAGGCCCACCTCCAGACCGTAGAAGGAGTGACTCACTCGTTCCTAGGTGTAGCTCCGTACCGTGCTCCTGGTCAGGAGACTGAAGGGTTCATCATTTTCTACTCGCCAACCTTTGATCTCGATGGAGCAGACGCTTCCGCAAAGCTTTGTGCTACTCACCGGGCCCTTCGGGATATCTGCGTGAAAATGATTGGGCTGCCGCCTCAGTTCGTCGTTCCCATCCCTGTGAACCAAATGGAGAAGACCACTCTCGGTAAACTGTCTCGTGCGTACTTGATCAGTCTGTTCAAGCAAGGCCAGCTCGCGAAGCACATAGCTCGCTCGGAGGAGCTTCTGAGCGAGGCACGTGGCGCTACGTTCGTCGCGCCGTCCACGGAGACGGAGAAGGCGCTTGCCAAGATATACGCTGGCATATTTAACCTGGCAGTTGACGAAGTGTCAGCGAGCGACAACTTCTTCGAGATCGGTGGTACTTCCATTGATACTATCCGGTGAATATACCTGTTTCCGCCTTCAAACGACCGTTACTGACACATAATCACCAGGCTCAAGCGCGAAGGAGAGGAATATTTCAACCTGCCTGAGATCTCTGCCATCAAAATCCTCAAGCACCCTGTTCTCTCGAGCCTGGCGAACTACATCAACTCCTTACTTTCCAAGGGCACCCAGACTGAGGAGTACGATCCCATCGTTCCACTCCAACTCAGTGGAAGCAAGATGCCCATTTTCTTCGTTCACCCCGGTATCGGCGAGGTGCTTATTTACGTCAATCTCGCCAAATACTTCCTTAATGAGCGTCCCTTCTATGCTTTCCGTGCTCGTGGCTTCGATGCCGGCCACCCTTACTTCACCTCCATGGACGAGATGGTTTCCTGTTATGCCGCAGCAGTTAAGAAGACTCAGGCGACGGGACCATATGCCATCGCAGGTTACAGTTACGGCGGTGTTGTCGCATTTGAAGTCGCAAAGCGGCTCGAGGCGATGGGCGACGAAGTTAAGTTCGTCGGTCTCGTCAACATCCCCCCTGATATTGCCCCTCGCATGAACGAGATTGATTGGACGACCGGCATGCTTCACTTGTCGTCCTTCCTTGGTCTCATGTCGAAACATGATGCTAATAATTTGGCTTCTCCACTGAAACCGCTCACGAGGCAGGAGCAGCTCCAGTTTGTGTGGAATATGTCACCTCCTGAACGAATTGTCGAGCTCCAGCTGACGCTCGAGAAGCTCAATAAATGGGCGGACCTCTCCGCGTCTATCATTGATTGCGGATTAGATTACAGCCCATCAGGCTCAGTCTGTATGTCTGTTCACTTTGTCACTTTAGAAGCGCTTGCTCATATGCCAACCCCTCAGCTGCACTCGAAGTTTTCTATGCCATTCCCTTTTCCGGAACCAAGATTGACTGGCTTAACAACCAGCTCAAGCCATGGTCCGCCTTTAGCCGTGGCGAGGCATCATATACTGATGTGCCTGGGGAACATCACACGCTGATGGACTTGGAGCATGTCCCGCAGTTCCAGAAGATTTTCCGGAGTCGTCTCGAGGCTCGTGGGATGTAGATGTTGGGTTGCGTATTCCGATCATATCTTGTTTTGCGTCGATGTCCGATCAAACTATATAGTGGGAATCCATTTGTTCTGTACTGAATTTGTTACAAGCGGTCCGTTCACCTTCGGACGTTTGCTACCGTCACTGAATTACAATAAGAGATGGGCCCGTACACTACGTACTCCGTTGTCTTTTCCTCTTCGTTCGAGTGTCTCAGCGACATCACGCTCTCGAAAGTCCGGTCTGCATCAGCACTCTAGATTCGTCGAAGTTCAGATTCCAAGTGACATTGCCTGCCTCGCATCACATTCTCTTTCAATTCAGCACGCTCAAGCTGGACCGTAAATCTTCTGAACTGCTTACGCGACCACGTTTAACGGATGAGTCAAAGACTCATGCTCGCACATTTCGCACTAAGCCGTTTGAAGCAGCGTCGTTGATGCCGGAGACATGACGGATGTCTATGGGCGTACACTGGAGCACTCGAATGATGGTCACAGTGGAGCCTCAAAGGGGCTCAAGTGGAGCGCGCACATGGCGTCGACATCATATTGGAAATCGCTCCGTCTTACAATATGTAGATACATCTTGAGTCTTGACGTGCCGTAGACCAGACGCGTACGTTTGGCGAATCCTGAACGTTAACGTCGAGCACCCACTAAGGTGGATACGGAACCTTGTGCACCTGTTGCGCGCTGCGAGATAACAGGTGTTGTATTCTTCCCAGTGGTACATTAGGTAACATAAGGTTAAGCGTAAGAGAGTCGAAGTACTATATCATACCAAAGTTCATTACATCCCACGGCGTTCAATTAAACAAGAACGCACGTTCAAAGATGTATTACCATTTGGTGCCTCAACTGCTGACGTCCAATGGTGAGTGGCAGCTAAACGCCGCAGAACTCGAGCTTTGAAACGCGGTCACGATCGTGTTGACGGCCGAGTACGCGCTCAGATAGCACAAGCCAAGCATGCGAGTGTGAGAAGGAAGTTCCACGCGGCGAAGAGGAAGTGCCAAGTGTTATAGAAGACTGGCGCAAGGGTTAGATTTGGCGCAAGGGAACTCTGTGCAGAAGATAGTACGTACCTGCACGTTTCCAACGCGAGATATCTGTCCATGAGTCAATACGGTGGGCGTAGGGGTTGTTGATGTCAAATTCCCCGTCGTCTTTTGCGGCATCTACTTGCAAGAAGTAACCCATGATCATAAATGGCGGGAAGGTGTATGTAAACTCTAAAGGGTGATTTAAGTCGTTGTGAGAGCAACCAGAAAAAAAATGAATACTCACGGAAGATGCAAACGGCAGCAATCAGCGACGAGAGGGCACTGAATTGCGGGATGGCGGATGCAATAACGAAGGCAATGGCCCAATACACTATGACAAAGATGGCAAAGTAGTATTTACCCCGAGTCGCAGTCAACACTGGGAAATCAAAGATCGCCACGAAGATGTTGTTGTAGATGATTTTGACACCAATATTGCCATATAATGCGGCGGCAATGATACCAGCGGTCAAAGAAATGGCGTTCCCCGCAGTCTGTAGGCCATAAGTCGAAATTCCCTGATTAGCCGGCTGCAAGAGCATCGTCATTAGGATTTCAAGTTAAGAGAGAAAGGACGGACGTTAACAACATATTGGCCTTGGTATGAATAAACGAAGAGACCGAAGAACATGTATACGATGAAGATAAAGATCTGGGAATACGCCATAGCCTTCCAGAAATCCATTGGGCGCCGCATTTCAGCCATAAACTCCACAAAAATCATGCTAAAAGAATTTGTTCATTTGCACATGAATGTTTTTATGAATCATGATGACTTACGCTCCACCGTATGAGAACACAATCTGCATGATACCATTGAGCTGGTTCTCGAAAGCCTGTACGTTGATAGCCTGAGTGATCACAGGGCCAGAGTAGGCGACTGCAGTATAGTTAGGTGGTGAGTTAGCCGCAAAGGCCATCGTCATAATCAAGACAGTGATATTCAGCCAGATAGCGATATTGGCGATCGAGCCAAACTTCTGAAGAGTCCGAATTTGACCAAGAAACATTCCAGCTAGGGTCCAGACGACGTTGCAGACGCTGAAGCATAGCTATAGAAGGGCAAGTGAGATGACAATATGCGCCAAAACATGACAAGGTCACCCTAAACTTTGCCATCTGCGAAAGACCTTGGCCATTTTGAAGAATAATGATCCCAACATTGAACACGAGCTGCAAACTTTGCAAAATGTTACAGACTGTAGATGCACGTGATCAATCGATTTTCTACATTGATGGGTGTTTACGTACGATTCCCGAACCAACGGCCATAGATGCGTTGCCCTAGTTCTCCGAAAGACTTGACGGGATATCTTTCCGAGTCCAGTTTCAAGAAGAGCCTCCATAGGATGAAGCCACCGTATGCAGCCAAAATGCCGAAGACGAAGAAACAAGCTACACCAGGACCATATCCAACTTGTTGGAATGCCCACGGGGTAGAGTAAGGACCCAAAATATCTTGCGAAGGATGTCATAGATAGAACCCATGAAAATTGACAATTCGCTTACCAGTTGTAATAAGATAGAACACGCTTCCCCATGTGGCCGTTCTAAGAGCCCCCGAAGCAGCACGGTACTCGTCTGCGGTGACTAGAGCGGCGCCCCCCTCGTCTGAGGGAGGAGTTACGTTCTTCCCATCATAGTTGGCTGATGCAACCGAACGCTTGTCAGATTCCTGAGAACGTTGGGATTTTCTTGAGAACAGGCCACCCCAAAGGCCACCTTCAGTATCATTCTTTGCAGATAGGGCCTCCTTATCACGTTGAATCTTGGCATAGTACATATATGTCTCGAGATTGGGGGTAGTGCCATCAGGGATATGGTAGTTCTCGGGAACATACGCATTCTGCTCTTCCTTCTCTGAGACATAAACTTGAGGGTCCACGCTGGCTTCGATAGTAAATGCCATTGTGGTGGGAGCGAGGAATGGAGATTCAGAGTTCGCGGTTTGATGCGGTAGGCTTTATTTACCTATGCTGTGGGTACCACTACATGTGCTCGATGTCAGTATGCGGTGTCATTACTTACTGTTACACACGCTTCATCTCCCGAGAAATGGAAGAATGGAAATTCCGGGAGATGAGCCGGTACTTGAATCACGGAGTTGCATGGCTGGTTCCTGGGACACAACGGAAGCCTGCATAGCCTGGGGGTGGATCAACGTTAACTGCCAGCGGGATGACCTAAGTAGGGATAGCACCAGAAATTCTCATCTGTTCTCGTACTGTGCGAATCGCTAAGAATGGATAACACGTGCGCTCAATCTCCCAAGTGGACAATTTGTGCGCCCGTTGAGGGAGATAACATCCATATTTGAAGCTTTGAAGGTGATCAAGGTCCGAGACCAAGATGATAATACAGTTGTTATGTGAACATTGATGCATTGATGATGAAGAGGCTGTTTGCTGTCGTCGTTTATAATTATCGGGGTGGTGCCTATCCGTAGCTATAGGCAGATTCGTGAGGTTTGCAGTTGACATGTACAGTACTTGCGGGAGTGGACGTTACTGATCATCAACACGGCACAATTGCGGCCCTTATGAAATTTATTACGGACTTTGAAAAATATTTGCAAAAGATAAGGGAGTGGCGACTGTCTTCCGTCTGAATAGGAGAGATAATTGAAAGAGACAACGAGCCACCAGCGACCATCACCTGAGTCTTTGTATATTAGTCAGCGGATAACTCTGGCGTTAGTAGCCCAAATCTGGAAGTGGCATTTAGAGTTTATACAAATGTTTTGCAAATTCAACTCATGGCTTATTATATTCCGCACTATTTGAGCCTTACATGACGCGTTATCGGGGTCAAATTCCACCTTATCCACTCCACCTGATACAATCCCACCACTCGTTACACAGTCCGATCGAACTTCAAGGAATGACTCGTTGATGACTGGGTCGCTATCCATGTTCCTTATTTATATGCCACAACCTATCACCTCACGCCTTGTGGTCCCAATGTGAATGTGCTGCGGGAATGTGCCCTGGCATGGACGGAAAAACATCAGTAATGATGTATGGAATGATCCGTGGCGCGTGTCCTCCTAGTTCCAAGTATGTTGTTGGCGGAACATCGGCAGAGCTTTGCATTTTTGTCATTCGTTGTTTTGACTTATAAAGTTTCAGATACAAATCGTATATGACACATTCCTTGATGATATCTTACACCACATGATACCCGGCGCCACACAATCCTGTGTTAACCTGTCCTCAATCGCCTTTCAAGTTTTCTTGGGCCGTGAAGGAATCGTTTGTTTATAGAAATGCGCCATCATACCCTCCGTGTGTGTCATCGTTAGATTGAATACCGGATGTGTCGCATTCTGCATAAAACCTCGATAAGTCACTCGGCGCGTCGAAATTGGCACAGAAAATCACCATCCGGTTATTTTGCGCTCCAAGCACACGAGATGTGCCCTCCTCCTCTGTCCATGAAAGAGAGTGCGAGAAGCACGCTTGACGAAGTTGCTCGTGCTTGGACTCTGATTCGGATGAGCCATTAGCTTTTCGATCAAAACTTGCGACCTACCAACCGGGGTCCTCCAACCGTGAACAATGGCATCTTGCCGAGTAGATGACAGGAAAACATTATGCTGAGCCGCGGATAGTCCTGCTAGACAATATAGCGTATGGTACGAATCCGCAGCCCTGTAAATATCATCAACGAAATATCATATAGATAATTCCATAACCCAGTTACTTTGGAGGTTTATCGCGCAGGCCTCCTGCTGGGTGTTGGCCGGCGCATAGGATGTAGCGCTGTAGGGCAGCACGATCCCATAAAGAATCTGCGTATGAGCTCATTCATCAGCCTATCTCGTCATGCAACGACAGCAGATGCGACAAACCATCAATATCATCCCAAGATTCGTCCTCTTCATGGGCAGTAGAAGACTGATGGTTATCATCACGGCCATGCGCACCAACGATGCCCAGCGAAGACAACAATGCAAAGCAGCCCCCAACCCACCAGGAATAACACCCATCCACGAGCTTATTAGTACGGCCCCTGAAACCACCAAGCTCGATCTCCACTGCAGTTCCCGTTGTTGAGTAGCTGTTGCACCTGGTTCGCTTGTCGTCCTGCTTCCTTGCGCAGAGCTGCTCTCTGGCGTGAGTATTTCGGGCATTCTAGGAGGAAGTGTTTGACTGATTCTTCGTGTGCGTTACATTGCAGGCAACGGGGCGTCTGCGACTTCGATATGCGGAACAGGTGCTTGTTTAGTAGTATATGTCCTGTTCGGATTTGGAACAAGAGAGAGCTATGGCGGCGCGGGCACCGGTTCACTGATGAGTGGATAATGGATATCTGGCTAATTATTCAATAGTATCAAAATTTATGGGTAACTAACCTCTTAAGATGTATTACATAATACAATAGCATAGGCTGCTCTAGTCACTTTCATAACGGCTTGAAGAGCTGGCGAGGCACTTCTATATGTAGTACCTGAGTTACATCAGTAACGTAGTCAGCCAATAAAGATCGTTTATCGTTTATCTTCGGGCAACTCGTACACGAGATTTCCTCGTTGGTGGTGACGAGTGTGGTGGGGGAAAATAATGTTTTTGCATATTCACGATTGCTCTACATGTACTATACAGGAGAAATGGAAATGGTGGGCTCGTACGGCTTCTGATGACAGTAGTCATACCTAAGTATACGTCCAATCGTGGATCCAGGATCCTAACCAAGGATTCATGCTCCCCGTCTGACAAATCTTCGTCTTCAATCGCTGACATGGTGACCTCCAGGTGTGCAATTTCATTGCCCAGGCGGCAGATGCTATCCTCTGATGTATCTAGAATGATCTTTGGGATGTCGAGCGACAGTTGTGCCTGGTCTGCGGGCGGGAGGCGACTCCAGACATAATTGGCGGCGGTATCCAACTGATCTTGTGCATCCCCTCGGTAGGTGCTTGGTAAGAGTTGACGTGAAGTAAGCGAGCAGCAGCGGATTAATTTTCTTCGGGCCTCGTTAACTAACGTCCTTCTTTTTAACTTGAGAATGCTGCTATAATTCTCCAGCAAAGTTGTCAATATTTGAACCGAGATCCTATAGTAATATGCGCTCACCTCCTTGGCATTCGCCCAGATCTCCTGGATCTCCTGTTGAAGCTCGCCAATCCTCTTTTCATTTTCACTTTGGGACCTGTCGAAATCACGCTGAACGCTTATCTGTTGTGTTTTCTCCTGAAACACTGATAAGCCAGACATATTGGCATAAAACTCAGAACTCACCCGCTCAATCGTGTCCGCCTGAGCTGCAAGTTGCTGGGCAATATCGTGGAACTGGTTGATTATTGGATCCATAAGTTGTGCGACCGTGTCTGCAAGGTCGCAATAAAGATGGCAGGAGAGGTTGACAGTGGGAGAACGTCCAGGAAATGGCCGACTCTAGTATTCAAAGCTATATGAGCGAGCTCAGCATTAGGAATGAACAACTAGTGCATTAGAAGTACCTATACAAGTGAGCTAAAGAGATATCATAGTGAGACAAGACCAGCGGGATGAGCGAGACGGTACATACCTCGGCGTGAGGAACAAACAGCTGAGGTACTATGATGTTGGAACGGAACGTGATATAAGTAGTACAACCGAAAGAGGAAATATAACTATGTTCGAGTGACGTCGTTAACATCCAACTTCATCTAGGTCTAGTGTTACTACACTATGATCAAGTTTATAATTTCCAACTAACGGTCGGCGTTGCCAACACCATTGGACCTTGCTTAGCAGTTTACGGTTTTTCATTGTTTGTTACAACCAAATTCACATTTTCTGTCTCTATTAATATTCATGGCGACGAGTGGGCAGGAAGGTGCACCGCAAATGGACAATGAAACTGGGGAGTCGGGACTGGCAGGGACTGGTCCGTTCCACACATTTCCAATTTCCAATACAATGTTTGAAAATCACGTGCAACTACATTTCAACCCCAGGTGACAAGTATTTCCATTTCCCTCTGATCTGCGACCTGCCAGTGAAAACACTTAGAAGGCATGATGGAAAATAAAGAATGAACGTACCTTCCAACCATGGATAGCTGCCGTTCTCGTATACACTGACAACGCCTCCTGTGGATGATACGGTCTTCACAAGAATCAGAGCCCGGTTTCTATCTAACGGGCGATGAGACGTACTGTTCCCAATCTTGGGCTAGCCGCGCGGGTTTGGGGCTAGTGCTCGAGATGGCTAGCTTGATCTGTAAGAGTACGGATGCGATACTATGAGGGGGTGTCAGATCAACGTGAATGATACCTCACGAGATACGCACTTGTAGCCTGGAAGCCATCCGGGATACATGTCAATACATGCTATCAAGATCAAATTGACAGTCGCGACTCACCAGCTGAAGTTAGTAAAAGATCCATGCAAATAGAGCCCCCTACATAAATACAGGTAAGTCAGTGTGTAACAATGACTAACTCTTCAGTGATACTGACCAACAGTAATATGTCCAATGGATAACAATCAGCACCGATGACACTTCCCCTCTTGATAATGACTGACCAGAATACAGGAGATGCATCACTATCCTTGTCCGATCTCTAGATTCTATCAGGTCGAACTCTACTGAACCATCGTCATCCCCTGCTCTGAAACCTAAGAAGATCGATGTTGGTGGGGCTGGGTATCGGAGATGCTAAACCACGCTTACTTTGCGCAGACCACGTTCCCTTATCAAGGTCAGATGGGCAGGTCGTGTGCAGATCGTGAAGGTCAGCACTGAGTCTCTTACGACCTTTCAAAGGCATTGGTGCAGGTGCCACAGAAGGAGATGAAGATGTCAAAGGAGTCAAAGGAAGCGCCTGCGAAGTCGATATATGTATTTCGAGAATGATCCGTGGCGCGTGTCCTCCTAGTTCCAAGTATATTGTTGGCGGAAGCATCGGCAGAGCTTTGCAGTTTTGTCATTTATTGTTTTGAACTTTAGAAGTTTCAGATACAGATCGTATATGACTCATTCCTTGATGATATCTTACACCACATGATACCCTGCGCCACACGATCCTGTGTTGACATGTCCTCAATCGCCTTTCAAGTTTTCTTGGGCCGTGAAGGAATCGTTTGTTTATAGAAATGCGCCATCATACCCTCCGTGTGTGTCATCGTTAGATTGAATACCGGATGTGTCGCATTCTGCATAAAACCTCGATAAGTCACTCGGCGCGTCGAAATTGGCACAGAAAATCACCATCCGGTTATTTTGCGCTCCAAGCACACGAGATGTGCCCTCCTCCTCTGTCCATGAAAGAGAGTGCGAGAAGCACGCTTGACGAAGTTGCTCGTGCTTGGACTCTGATTCGGATGAGCCATTAGCTTTTCGATCAAAACTTGCGACCTACCAACCGGGGTCCTCCAACCGTGAACAATGGCATCTTGCCGAGTAGATGACAGGAAAACATTATGCTGAGCCGCGGATAGTCCTGCTAGACAATATAGCGTATGGTACGAATCCGCAGCCCTGTAAATATCATCAACGAAATATCATATAGATAATTCCATAACCCAGTTACTTTGGAGGTTTATCGCGCAGGCCTCCTGCTGGGTGTTGGCCGGCGCATAGGATGTAGCGCTGTAGGGCAGCACGATCCCATAAAGAATCTGCGTATGAGCTCATTCATCAGCCTATCTCGTCATGCAACGACAGCAGATGCGACAAACCATCAATATCATCCCAAGATTCGTCCTCTTCATGGGCAGTAGAAGACTGATGGTTATCATCACGGCCATGCGCACCAACGATGCCCAGCGAAGACAACAATGCAAAGCAGCCCCCAACCCACCAGGAATAACACCCATCCACGAGCTTATTAGTACGGCCCCTGAAACCACCAAGCTCGATCTCCGAGCCTTGCATCTGCACCAGCCATCGCAGCAGCGTCTTGAAATTTAGAGATGGCCGCTGGAGCGAAGGCTTTTGCAGAGCAAGGTACGGTTGAAGCATGACCCATGACGCTAGAGAGCAGAAAGTGTACCCGCCGTGAGCCTCGCCGAGAGGCGGACGCGGAGAATCAAGTAGGATCGGGCCTTCTGGCTCAGCAGAGAAATATGGCTGCGACGCGGATGAGAAGCCTCCTTCGTAGGTCTGACATGACATAATGAAGCCAGGGATGCCCTCCAAAAGCTCCGGCGTCAGCATGTTCAGCAAATGTACCGTCACGAGGAGGCAATATGTACCACTGTACGATATCCGCATCAGCATACATCGATAGAAACCCGATCAGAGCTTCACAGACCGAACATCCACTTCTGCATGGTGTGCTACGAGGAACGCCCCATCTGATTGCTTGATGGACATGAAAAACTTATACATCTTCTCCCTGGTTCGGAGGCGTCAACAACATCTCCATATGGGTAATAATTTAGGACTCACCGGTCGATCTGATCCCATCCTCCTCCCGGGCCAGGCCTTCCAACGATCGCCAGCGCGCAAACCGCTGCATACGTCGGCAGCAAATGCGCAGCCTGCCCCGGCCCACCTCCAAAACCGCCATCTGGATGCTGCCATGCCATAATAGTGTCGATGGCCCTACAAAAGAAGCACATCTTGAGCCATCCCATCGGATAGCACCACCTGCACCACGCACTTTTGTTTATTGTTCGGATCTAGCGCTACACCCATGACGCTGAAGCTTTGGAGCGTCCAGTAGAGTAACCATGGTTGGCTTGCGTCTTGACTGATGTAGCGGGATGGAAACCCTTGTATTAGATTTCGAATCAAGAACTGTAAATGCGAATCTCTCTGCAACGGGGAAGGCGAGTCTGGACTAAGTGGGAGGTGCTTGAGCAGTATGGTTTCTGTTTCTGTTTGGTGATCTGTCGTCTCAGTTTCGTACGAATCATGGGGTGACCTTCGTGGTTGCCGCATCATTGCAATAGATGATGGTGAGATGCAACAGCGATTACAGTGGCGCGCAGCATTGGGAAAAGTCAATAACAAAAGTCAAACCCAACTCAAACTCAACTTGAACTCAAAACATAGAGTGATCGTGATCATGAAACGCGGTGAGGAAACATGTACTACGTGCGTCTATCTCTAGTACATCCTTTTTATTTATACATCATGCAGGATATTTGTGTTATGCGTAGTAACCTTACAGTGCCCTCTCTATCAGACCCAACCCTTCGCTCTCCAAGAGTTCGCGGATGGGGTCACAGATCTCCTTTGTGTATGGAACGTGAACTCCGGGAGTTTTAAAAACGCCATCCAAAACTAGTTGCGTTGCAATACCGCAAGGAACACCGACAGTGAGTGCCATTGCGGAATGCCCAGATGGACTTCCGTATTGCTCGAGCGTCGAGGTAAGCGTTTGCTAGAAGGTGATCAGCAAATTTGTTTGATATAAGTGACCTGTAGCGAATACGTACCTCGCTGCCGTCAGCCCACTCGACCACGAACTTGTGCTGAAGCATGACGAGATCCCGTTCGCCCTGCTCGTACTTCATCAGCGTCTCGAGTTGCGCGCAGAGGGTATCGAGGAGGTTTCCTGCACGGGGCTTCACAGTCTCCGATGAGAAAAGTCCAATCCAGCGGAGCCCGGAAATGATGCGGGTAGCTTCGGCATCATTAGGGAACTTGCAGACCGACTTCACGTGTGTGACGAGGGTGCTAGATTTTGAAGTCAATTGTGTATTCTCCACAGATTAAAACAACCAGCTGCTTACCTTTCTGCAGCATCATTGGCACCGATCGCTTGTTGCATGACCTGGGCCCAGGTCAAGCCCTCCTTCAACCAGTCCTTTTCGGATGCATCCAGCCAGCCCAACTCGACGAGCGCCTTGATGAACTCGGGGAATCCTTGGTATCGGAGTGTGCCGCGGACCACAGTCTCTGCTTCTGGGATGTTATACCACTCCCTGAAGGGCACAGGAGTTACGGTTCGGATAAGCCACGAACGCAAATGCAGGCGAGATAAAGTAGGGTTTGGCATATCCCATCAATTCGGTGCCGGAGATGTCGAGTTGTTTACCATTGGAAAGGTAGGCTGCTGAATTGAGCAGGGCGAGAAGCACTCCGCGGGATGACCATGAGAACTTGTAACCAAGTGGGTTACCCGAGCACTCTGGTGCTGGGAGACCACCACAGTATGATAGGAACTGCTTGATCTATGGAGATATATGAGGCGTGTGTACAGATAAAAAATGACAATAGCTCACCTTGCCACCCTTAGCATGCACCTCATCGATTGTTTTGATCGCGTACAAATGGTCGATGCCAGGATCAAGACCAATCTCGTTCATTACAATGATGCCCACTCTCTTGGCTTCCTCATCAAGTTCACGCATTGCAGGGGATACATAACTGGTTGTGACGACGTGAACTTTAGCCTTTATCGCAGCCTTTATGACAGCCGCGTGGTACGTGTAGGGGATCAGAGAGATGACGAGATCATGTGCAGCAACCTGAGCCTCGAGAGCATTGGTATTATTGACGTCCAGAGAAATGCCCTGTGCATTTGGAAGACCCTCTGCAAGTGCTTGTGCACTCTGGAGCGTGCGGCATGCTGTAAAAGGAATGAAGATCGGCAAAAGGTATGAATTTTTTTGGCCTACCGATTGTCAGCTCATTCGACGGGTCACGTACAACGTACTCGGCACACGGGCGTGCAACAAAACCAGAGCCAAGGAGAAGTACTTTGCGGATTTTCTTGCCTTCTGCCGCGACTTTAGCAGCAGCAGCAGCACGTCCGAATACAGGTAGGATGTCCTTTCCCTCCTCCAAGAACGATTTGACAAATTGTGGAAGTACGAATGCCGCTCGGTGCACGTCCTCATTATAGTAACGAGTGTTGGTAACTTTGCGGGTGGGTACACTGAGGACCCGACCTTGTTCCTTCGAGCACACCAAGAATCCGATCTGGCCAGATGGGTATGTCGGGATCGTAGTGAAGGCATATTGCGAAACTGCGAATATCTCGCGTGTCGACTTAAGGAGGTTATCGATCAAGGGAATGTGGAGCCACTGAGATTCTGCCTGTGTCGATATATGCCCCCCAGGAGTCAGTGCATCATGAAGAAGCTTGAAGTAGGGCTTTTGGAAAAGAGCCTCTGCTGGACCAACCGGATCAGAGGAATCGGTGATGATAACGTCGTAGGTTGCCTCGTTCTCGGCAAGGAACTTGAAGCCGTCGCCAACGAAGACCTTGACGCGAGGAGAGTCGAGCAGCGCAGACATGTGCGGGAGGTACTTCTTTGAGACCCTAATCACGGCCTGTAGTTTGGTCAAATAAGCACTAATATGTTACCTATGCATGTACATACCTCATCGATGTCGCAGAGAACCACCTCCTCAACTGTATCGTGTTTGAGAACCTCTCGAACGACGCCCCCATCTCCACCCCCAATAACAAGGACCTTTTTCGGGTTTGGATGGCTGGCGAGAGGTAGATGGGCTATCATCTCCTGATACCTACGAAAAGGTCAAGTGATTCGAGCAAGGGCTGGCGTATGAGTGACATACGAGAACTCGTCTCGTTCGGTGCATTGGATGACACCATCGAGGACCAGTACATTGCCGTAGGTCTCGGATTCAAAGACAAGAACGTCCTGATAAAGAGATTTTTCGATGTGCAAGATCTTATTGACCTTGAGGGTCATGGCCTGACCAGGGCCACTGAGAGGAGATTTCGCGGAACCAACCATCTAGCAAGTTCAATCAGTCGATGATCAATTCATTGTTATATGGCATCTACCTTGGATCGAAGGGTGTGCGAGGGGTGACATTTCTAACAAATGAGTTCAAGTTCCTGGACCCGTCTTATAGGGTACAAGTACTTGTGACTCATGAGGATTTTTTTGTCTGTCTCATGATCGTTATCGTACCGCCACTGACGCGCCAGTTCCCGACTCCGCCGGCTCTTTCCACAGACTCAGACAAGTTGAGCGCTAGCTTTGAGTCCACGCTCCAATGCCAACGATATAGATCTATTCCAAGGTGTTTCTACTCTCGTCCCAGTCTCTCAGAGCCGCCATGTCGCCACCATCATCCTGGACATGTCGGTGATCTCTGATCTCGATGCAATCGGTTGCACTTGTCACGCTCTCAGAGATTTGGCTTGTGAAGTTGTCCGCCTTCGCCCGAACATTCACCCTTAAACTTGTACATACAATGTCGTAGTCACTACCATTCAAGTTTAAGTTACCGTTTATCTTCCCCTTGCACGAACGAGATGCCAGAGTGAGAATGAATAAACGGGGGTCAGAAAAGACGTGTTTACGAAGTTAGAAAAGCGTTTGTATACTCATGTCGCGCAAGCAAAATTTGTGACATGTCTGATTATATCTAGGTACGTTTAGAGTCGTATTATACGCGCTGTCTCCCTCTGATCTAAAATCTCGTTTCTGCAGTGAATATGCTGCTAGTTCTCCCTCTACTACTGGGAACCGAGGCAGTGCCGGTTCCTTCCGAGCACTTTAGGAACTAGCTTGCCTTATTTTAGGTCCATAATGGGCGGAGTAAGAAAAGTACTTTAGATCGCGGAGAGCAACACTAGGGGGGGACGTTGACTAACTTGAATTAATGAGCTAACGCTGGGACCGAGAATGTCCAATAATTCAGGGTGACCGAACTGACATATTGGAATCCACAAAGGCGTCACTAACCACAATGCCAGGTATCCTGGACAATCGTCAATGACGGCCCCTGTAACATGCCCTCATAGATCCTCATGCCAGTTCTTCGGGTGCGTTTTCCCTTTCTTTCCAGCCGCTTCAAAACGCCGAAATGTTATACTGTGGCTCGACATCTTCCTTTCTTACTTTCATCTCGCAATGAGCTACAGACACTCCCTGGAGGATACTTGTAGGGTGTTTATTTCGCGTCCGCGACGCTATAATCAACCAGCACCCACCCAACATGCATTCCAGCATTCCCCATCGCCTGGCTTCGCACCCGTACATCTCGGAATCCCAGCATCCTTTTCTTTGTCAGAATCACCACAAAGCTGCCTCGGACTCCACTCCGTCACCCAACACGCTTCCCGACGTCATTCAACTGCCTATACCAGGAGTCGCAGACCTCATTCCAAAGACGAATCGGACATCGCATGCCAAACGGCAGCCTGCCGGGCACATCCCTCGTCCGCGCAATGCGTTCATTCTCTTCCGCTGTGACTTTGTCCAGCAAAAGAAAATTCCTGGTCATGTAGAAAGTGACCACCGAAACCTATCACGTATCGCAGGTAAAATATGGAGAGGCATGAAGAAAGAGCAACAAAAACCGTGGATTGACCTTGCCTTGAAAGAGAAAGAGCGCCACGCTGCGATGTACCCTGGGTATAAATACATGCCTGCGCAGCAAACTTCAAAGCAAAGGAAGGTCAAGAGTGACCGCATCGCTAAAGAAGAGAGGGAGCTGGAATCACGCAGGGCAGAATTATCATCCGTCTTGGTACAGCGCGCACTTGACATGAGTGATAGCTCGAAGCAAACTGCGCAGGCTGCCGCCCGTTTCACTCCCTATCCCGCTCCCTCGCGTCCACGACGCTCGTCCTCGTGCCCCCCTGTTGGCGCGGAACCAGTGAACCCGTCCGCAGATCTCGACTCTTGGACTCCGTTCTTGGTTACTCATGACGATCTAGCTCGTCGCCCGAGCCGCACTACCATGTACCACTCCGTCACCTCGGAGCCAATCGCTTCACCTCTCATTCCAGCGTGTGACCTTCCGAACTCGCAGCCTGGTGGAGATACATGGTTAGGTGCTCCAATGCCGTATGCATGGCCTCTTCCAGACCGAGAGGACGACCCTTTGTTCGAGATGCAGGCTTCTGATGCCACGTCACAGTTTAACTCTCCCTTCGGGCAACAGGTGAGTACTTTCATGGATTTCAGGACTGCTTATTAATGCTTTAGTAGAACACCGAACTTTATTCTCAGTATTCCGAGTTCATATATTCCCCATTTGAGAACCTTCCCCAGATGCCCCCCGTGAGCATGGACAGGGGAGGGGCACTTGGGTTGGAATTTACTAATCCCTTCGGTTTTGACAATTTCTCATTCAATGGGGATAACTTTCTGACATCGTCTTCTGACATGTCTTCGATGCTCTCTTCTCTGGAATGTGCCATGTCAAGTGACCCGAGCGCTATGAGGGGTACGGAATAGAGCTGTGGGACGTCCTCCTTTTTTGCAGTCGGAATGTCATAGCCTTGGTCCATAGATTCTAAGATCATATAGTACCTATGCATCAGTAATTTACATGGAAACAGCGTACCAACGTACCAACAGTATTTAATATATTTTCGTGGAGTATACATAGCTTTTAGAATAGTCTCTCATTGCACAAAGCATCATTCTCAATAAGATTTACTCTAATGTTATCGTTCCTTATCTACACCGACAGAGAGACGTAGCAAGAGTCTACGACGGTGCACAAAGATACAAAATTACCTGCAGCCCGGGACGTTTCGCTGGGTTAGGTTTCGAACTCCGTCAGGACTACACTCTATGGTTAAACGTTAACAGATGGCCAAATAAAATATTCATTTGTTCATTCATACCCACTCGTTCTAATGGTTCTTCAACTGCCTAGACAAATTCCATTCTAGTGGATTGGAGTATGTGCGTCCGAAGACATTTGGTTCCATACAGAACCGACATATCGCCTACAGCTGGCATACCCACTCTGAGTCTCTAAGCCGCATTGGCTATTCAGCGACCTAGAAGACAGAACGAGTTTATTGATGAATCGGGTAGAAAAGAAACCGGTGCGGAGCTTCGAGTGGACTGGAGTGAGTTGCAAGTTCTTTCGGGACTGTGCAGGGGCGAGCGGGCGGACATCAAGGCTTGGAAGGTGTGGAAAGAGGCAGTCGGACTGAATAAATGACGAGGATTAGCCAAACTCAGGTTATAGATGAAAAGAAGGAACAGGATAGAAGATGAAAGAGAAACTTGCAGGAATCCTCGAAATTTCCTTTGCTTAAGCTGGGAGTCGCGGACGCACACAAGACCGCAAGTATAGGAAGATCTACGTGCGGCTCGGAGGCGTGACCGGTCTTCGAAGTAGTTCTCACACATGCTCGCTGTAGACTTTGTACAACGGTTCATGGGGACCTGGTGCTGACCGGGGGCCGCACGCAGGTACCAAGCAGAGCTTAAACGATCTACTTTAGTACTTAGTCGATCCGAGTCAGCTGCAGGATCCGTGGAAGTAAATGTCTGCCATATGGTCGCACGACGCAAGTACAACTCTCATCTCTCCTTGTATCGTGCCAAATCCTTGCCAGCATAGTACTGTTCATCATCATGTTCAGTGGTGACACTTTCAAAAATATTCGCGTGTACTGTCAGTCGCAACATTATTTGGTACACATTATTTGCTCACAACTTTGCAGGGCTCGCATTCGTGGCTTACTGGGGCATCATTCTGTTCGGATATGACACGTATGTTCCTCATCGTTGAAAGCTCACAAGCGCCTGTCTGACTGTGACCTAGTGGTATAGCTGGAGGTGTCGTCTCCCAGCCTTACTTCGAGACCAGCTTCGGTTTAGTCAACGCCGATGGCTCAATCAACAAAAGCAAGGATACTGAGGTTTCTTCCAATGTTGTTTCTGTGTTGCAGGCAGGAGCATTCTTTGGCGCTCTAGGCAGTGCACCTATATCAGGTTAGTACAATGATGACTGCTCGCTGGTAGACTGATACATTCCGACCATCACGGTAGCTTGGTTGGGACGGAGGTTGACATTGATCGGTTTTACCATCATTTTCGTTATTGGTGCCGTGAGTGGTTCTTTGAAACCCATTATCAGATAAGCCTCTTACTCACGCGGTTCTAGATACTCACTACGGTTGCTGGTGGTAGCCGGGGTATTGCATACATTTACGGCGGTCGGGTTATCTCCGGTTTCGGCATTGGTGGTATCTCTGCTGTCGCACCCACTTATGTCTCCGAATGCTCACCGAAGAATGTTCGTGGTCGCATTACCGGGTGTTTCCAAATCATGGTAGCCATCGGTGTCATGATTTCATATTTCATAAACCGTTTAGTCCCTTTTCGTTCATTTTGGCCTGGATGGCGCTCACAATAATTACACAGTTGGTGTCGGCCTTCACATGGCGAACAGCCCCAATGTCTGGAGGATTCCTTTTGGATTTCAGCTCGTTCCTGCAGGTTTGATGTGCCTTGGTCTTTTCACTGTCAAGGTTAGTCATCCTCGAACTTGCATGGACCATTGCAGATCATTTTAATGCAGGAGTCTCCCCGTTGGCTTGCATCTAAAGGTTACGTTGCGGAAGCCATTGCCAATCTTGCTTACTTGCGGAGGGAGCCCTATGATTCAGATGAAGTACGGCGTGAATTTGCTGAAATTGAAGCTGCCATTCGTGAAGAACAGGATGCTCGTAAAGGCCTTGGATTGAAAGAAGCCTTCCTCGGGAAGGGCAATTTTGTCCGATTTGTCATTGCATTTGTGATCTTCTTGTTACAGCAATGGAGCGGACAAAACTCTGTTGGTTATTACGCACCTCAAATCTTTAGCTCGGTGAGTCTCCCATGCAGTATCCTCTTCCCTCACTCACACGTTAGATTTTAGATTGGGTACTCCGGGACCACCAATTCTCTCTTGGCGTCTGGAATCTACGGTATTGTGAAAGTCGTTGCGACTGCACTTTTCGTGTTCTTCCTTGTCGAGAGTCTCGGTCGCAAAGCCTCGTTGTTCATATCCGCCATGGGAATGGGAATCACGTTCTTTATCATCGGTGCTATCTTGAAAACGCATCCTGTTGTCACGCCTCTGCCGGGCCAGTCTGCGCCACCACCGTCACCGTCTTCAAAAGGTATGGCTGCCATGCTCTACATCTACGTTTGCTTCTACTCCATGGGGTGGGGTCCTCTTCCGTGGGTTTATGTCGCCGATATCTTTCCCACACGGACTCGTCATTACGGAATAGCCGTAGGTTCTGGTTCTCAATGGCTATGGAGTGCGTGCTAAGTCATGTAAAATGTTGTAACGCTGCTAACTCAATCCTGTAGACTTCGTTGTGGCGAAGGTTACCCCAACGCTTGAGACTGATCTAGGATTCAAACTCTTCATGATGTTTGCTACAATCAATATTGGTGGAATGGCAGTGTTCTCCCTGTCAGACAATTCATGTGCCAATTACTTGATCGATACTTACACCATGCTCAACAGGTTCCTCCCTGAAACCAAAGGTCGTAGTCTAGAGGAGATGGATATCATTTTCGGCTCAGTCAGTGCTGAGTCCCGCGAAGTGTTCATTGAACGTGCACTCGACCACAGTGAAGTCAAATCACAACCATCTATCGACAAGCAGATTTAACCGCCATGTGGGCTTGCCTATTACCATTAATTATTGCTATTACCTGGGATGGATTGGAAGTAAATAGTACGCATACCACAACTTCACTGATCTTGCTTTCCGCGTTGATATTGTTATTCCGTCTCTGTAACTTATAAGCTATATCACCCTCACGTTCAGTGGTACTCCACAGTTGATGAACTCCAATCAAGATTTAAATTGGTTCTAGACGCCGTATACTATTTTAGCATTCTCATTGGCGCGCTTCATGATATCTGCACCACTCCATGGATGTCCAGCTTTTCCTGCGGTATATTCTGCAACCCACGGGATCATTGCAGTGTGACACAGGGGCAACCTGCTGCCCTTGATTTCCGGTATAGAATTGTAGAGGTTGGAAGGGACCATGAAGGGCGCATCTGTTTCCAGTAGTATACGCGGTCCACCATCGCTCTTGGCCATCTGACTGACGATATTCGACGTATTGAGATTGGTCGAATATGTAATAACCCCTTATATGTATGAATTAGTTCAGAGGCTTATCGAACTCAATAATGACCGGCCTACCAGTGATCCCGATGTACAAATTACGGAAATGATGAAGTAGTCGCTGTGCGAATTCTGGCGAGTCTGTGAAACAATGTATATGTATCTTTAAAAGAAGATTCAGCCTCGGGAATCAGTAACAAGAGTGATCGCTGGTAGTACCTTGTGATCGGCAGGGACGTGCTCCATGAGAATCCTCTCCGTGTCTGCCTCCGCTTCGCGCGTGTGGATCGTGAGCGGCTTGCCCAGCCTGACAGCATGATTCAACTGTCGGATGAAGACTGCTTGCTGGATTTCCCGTGGGGAGTTGTCGTAGTGGTAATCAAGACCCATCTCTCCCCAGCCTACACATCGTGGGTGGGCCATCGCTTCAAGACTGAAACTCTCGAATCAAATCCCCAGAATTATAAAGAACGCAGAAACATACATGGAAGCCTCAACTGCATCGTTGTATGACTTCGCTTCGTGCCTGGGAGGATTATCAGTTCACTCCCGTACGAGACATGGGCCGAACCAGTACGCACGGGTGAACGCCTGTCAAAATCATCTCTCAGTGCAGGAATCGAGGACAGCGCACGATCGGATAACTCACCCATCACAAACCAATAATCGATACCTCCCCACTTCTGTTCCCGATCTTCTGCAGTAAGTGCTGAGTCCGCAAGCTCCCTCCACGCCATTAACACAGGTGCCTCGCACCACACGTCCACGATTGCCCTCACGTTGCGATTGCGGTACATCTCGCGCACGAAGTCATGGATAGTGTAAAGCGTCCCGTTCCTGTACTTATTTCGGTAAGTCGAGAACGTCGACACGAGGTGGGTGTGCGTGTCGATGATGGGCTGGTCAGCAAGGGAGGCATCTGCAAGCGGAGGAAGACGGAGGAAGTCCTCAGCAGGAATGGTGTTGGACTTTTTCTTGTTGTTCTTGCCCATAGTGCGATGGGCTGTTGTAGTGAAATGAACCTGAGGGTGCAATAGAACTGATCTTCTCAATAGCTGCCAACTCGTGCGAATGACATGGTTGCGAGTAAGCATAAAGTTAAGGGTCAAAACTGTAGTCTCGACCCAACTCGAGTACTTGGACGATTTTACGTGATGTAGCATTATACATGTTAATACGCTGTCACTACTAGTATGTACAAAACGTTGGATCCATTGCTTGGCTATAAAGTGCAATCTACGAGGGATATTAATGTGCGGCTCCACACTCGGACCATAAGGTGCCGTGCGCGAAGTGACTCAAATCCAGTTGCAATGTGTGACTGGGAATAACCAGCGTATCACCCGGGATGTACACGGACCGATAGAAATCGACAGGGATGCGGAGGAGAAGATGACCCTCGGGACTTTCAACCCACCCTTCCTCGTTGGGGGTGAGAGAGGCTGGGGTGGGAGAATCTTGAAGAAAGGAAAAGGCGGAGCAAAGGGCATGAGTTGGGTTGGAGGAGAAACATATTGCAGGTCTTCCAGATATGAGTTGGTGCTTGTTTACAAAATCTAGATCCCACACCCGGGTGGTTGTGTCATATGAACCAGACACAATACGTTTTCCATCCGGCGAGAATGCGACGGAGTATACGGCCTGGGTATGACCTTGGAGCGTACCCAATGCATTGCCAGTGTCCGCATCCCATACTCGGACCGTCTTGTCTGATGAACCAGACGCAATGAGTGTTCCGTCAGCTGAGATCGCGACTGACCAGACACGGTTAGTGTGCCCTTGGAGAGGGGCACCTATTGCCTCGCCGGTCTCTGCATCCAACATCTGGATTATCTTATCCTTTGAACCGAACACTATGCGTTTTCCATCTGGTGAGATCGTCAAAAATAGAATAGCATCAGTGTGCTCTCGGAGAGGAGGGCCCAAGGCTTCGCCGGTTTCTAGATCCCACACTCGGATGGTCGCGTCATCTGAACCAGACACAATACGTCGTCCATTCGGCGAGATTGCGACAGACCGAACCACGCCAGTATGTCCCTCGAGAGGGGCAACCAATAACTCGCCGGTCTGCGCATCCCACACCAGGATCGTCTTTTCGCCCGAAGACACGATACGTTGTCCGTCCGGCGAGATTGCGATAGACAGGACGTAGGTGGTGTGCCCTCGGAGAGGGGAACCCAATACTTTCCCGGTTTCCAAATCCCACATTCGGATTGTGTGGTCGTTTGAACCAGACACAATACGTTTTCCATTCGATGAGATTGCGATACACCGAACGGCCTCACTGTGCCCTCGGAGAGGGGCACCCAATGCCTCGCCAGTTTCCATATCCCACACCTGGATTGTACCGTCATATGAACCACACGCGACACGTTTTCGGTCTGGTGAGATTGCAACTGACATAACCCCGGCGTGCCCATGGTGTCTGTTTTCTTTCGGAGACCACCATGCAACGTGACCAGCAACAACCCGAGGAGTGCGAGGAAACTTTGTGGCGAATTTCCTGAATATCGTCGACTGTGTTGGAGCAAATGACAGAGCGGACAAGTATAAATGTGGAGTGCTGTGCAGAATGGTGGTCCCAAAAGTTTTAATGAAGCGCTGGGCATCTCTGACATCGTCGCTGGTATGCATATGCTCAGCGTTATCCTGTGAATATTATCACGTGAGACTTCATGGTCCCAAAGAATGAGCCACAATCACGGACCGTAAACCAATCTGCAACGGACAAGAGGAAACGCGCTGTACTATTTAGGGACTTGACTAGAGTCAGTGCTTCCAGCCAGAATAGGAAGCGCTCTCCATCGAAAAAGGCTTCGATTTCCTTGGCAAGCGATGGCTCGAAGGACGTAGCTGTTACATGTGTCCCCCAGAATCGACACGAGTACGACAACTCCACTGGAATGAAGTTCTTCACTCGTGACTCTAAATCAGGGACAGCATAATTAGGAAGGTAAGAGTTTTCCAAAGAGCAGATATTGAAACGAAGCCCGCCCGCCATGACCCGCAGCGAGGCAAAGGCAAGGTCCCTCTGTATCAATGACACATCGATGGAGAACTTGCCGCTTCGTTTCTTTTCTGTGAGAAAGTCGTAGAAGGAAGAATGGAGGGGACGTATGGGAATGTCAGGATCTGCAGTGCCGATGACAAGTGAGCCCAGTGGCCCCATGACCGCCTCGACGTTGTAACGGTCATCTTCATTTGGAAAATGTAGTCGCATGGCGTTTAAGGCAACCATGGGGAGTGGTTCTAATGATGCAATAATTTGCCCCATCACAGAACGAAACATAGGGATTACTTCCTCCTCCTCATCCTCTGGTATAATTTCTCCCAATATGTGTTGGTACATATTATCCAATAGATGTACTCCTTTTCCAAATGTCATAGAGACCAAGGAACGGAAACGGCGCATCGGGTCCCCCACTATGTTCGTATTTTTGATGTGCGCAGAGGCAAGACGAGCCCATTCAAAGAGACCATCGGACTTCTGCGCAAGCATGTTGAAGTCCGTGTCCTTCAAAGTGGCGCTCACGCCGGCTAGCTTATTGGAGAGGTAAAGCTGGATGTCATGTTCTGCAGAGGAAGACGAGATATCATCCATGGAGACATGAAGAACATGTGATAAGTCATGCATGGTATCGTGGATGTCTCGGAGTAGGCGAGAAGTAACGAGAATACGGAAATGAGACGGAAATTTGGTTGGCTGAGGGGAGGAAGTATCTGGCGTACCAGAAAGCAGACGGAGAATTTGTTCTCGGGATTTGGCTGCGCCACTCTCGTCAAGCGCATCGATGACTATTAAAATGGGTTGAGTGATGGTGGATGAGGCTTTGCCTATTGGTTCTACGATCAACTTCTGCCATTGTCTTGTGATGTCTCGGGTGTGCCTGAGCTCATTGTCATCATGAACTACATGTGCTATTTCTCGCCGCAGGGTAAGATTGCCGTCAGCTAAGTCGCGCGCAATGGTGGTAAATATCTTTTCATGACGGAGATTTTCTGTGCGGTCGAAACAGAAACAAGCGCCTAAACGCCCAGATTCATGAAACCAGTTGGCGATTGTATGGGCGATGGCTGATTTGCCTCTCCCTGCCGTGCCGGATAACCAGAAAACAGGGGGCACATTCTCACCAGTGCTATTGATCCAAGACTTGATCTCAGTTAGAATGCCTTCCCGAGTGCCTGCGAGGCAAAGCTTAGATGTATTCAGTCCAGCACCGGTCGCATACTCCAGGTTGCTCAAGTCCAGATCCTCGGCTAGGTCACAGGTTGGCAAACGTCAGAAGATGCAGATGAGTTTGAGGCAAATGCTTACCTGCACGGTGGAGGAAGACGACGGTGTCACGAGCCACTTTATCTCGGAATTGCTGCATGAGATCGTCGAGTACTTGATTGTAGCTCTGAATCGAGGCATTTGTTTCATTGAGGACGTTCTTGCAAATTCTTTTCCCTGTTCAAAGATAGTGAGTCCTGGGTAGCATCATGGTAGAACCTACTCACAGAAAGTCTTGGTCTCAGAGTAATGGACAATAAAATCAGCGCATTCCTGCGTCTGTTGTGCGATTTTTAGATATATTGGTAGCATGGATGAAATATTCTTCAGCTCCTCCTCTTCGTTCATTAAGGCATAAACTTCCGAGATCTTCTCGAGCAGATGGTAAACAGCAGTATCACGGCCTGCCTGATCGATAATGATCTGCCACCAAGACATTCGTCATAACCTGCCAAGCTGAATAAATGGAGATAAGCGCACTGAGACGCGCCAATCAAAATAGTCATTGCTCCCTGCAAATAGGGATGAACCTACCTGAGGGTCAGTTACATTCTCAACTGAAATAAATGAATGTACATCTCCAATGCAACGAGCAACAGAGTTAAAGGCCTTCAGTGGCCCAAGAATTGGGGTCCACATGTCGATCTCATTGAGAACCGTTTGAACGTTGCCGGTTACTGCGGCAGCATTTTTCGCGATTCCCGATACAGGGCGGATGCTTGTAACACCTCTAGTGGCATCCCTGATTCTTTCATTCACAACTTCGGAGTTGAGTGGCTCGGGCTGAATGATAGACTTTAGAAGTCGTGTCAAAGTTAGAATTACACCTACCTGAAGCATCTGTACAGGAACGGTATCACGTCCACTAGGCAAGACATCCACAGGTGAAGGACTCAGAGAGCGCCCGTTGTTTTGGGCGCAACGGCACTGGTTGATTACCTTGTCCCAGAATTTGCGACAAAAACTGGACCGTCGTCTTGGAGATCCAGTTTGCGAAGGTGGGAGAGAGGACGGCTGCAACGATGTCATTACAGCATCAACGCAAGAGCGACAATGGTCCATACATCTTGCTTGGCTGCTCTCCTGCCCCTCCCCTGTGGTAGACGAGGGTTTGAGGGAGTAGTATCTTTGTTCATGGAGTAACTTTGAACAGAAGGCTGGGTCCGAGTCTGAAGAGATCAGTTTAAGCATAGCACCCAAACGGCCGCATAGCAGGTTATATAACGAACCCGCGCTTGTCCTGGGCGTCCATTATGTTAAAGGAAGGAACTTCTAAGATTACTGGATCCAATGAAGGTGAATTGCGGCTACGGAAGTCCACGAGGGCACTTGCATGCAACAGGCGCTCATCCGAATATGTTCAAATGCCCTCGAGCTCTCCACTCGGTGGCGTGATTGACTAGCTTGCGAGCGCAGCCCGTCAGCTCTTACCGTCAATAACGGATGTAAATAGCACCGCAACTGCCCATTGCCCACTGCATGGAGGCTGCCAGCCACACAAGCACGCTAGGAATCCCGGATCATGATGAGCTTCTAGTGTAGAGTGTGAAGTGATCGATCGAGTTCTGAACTAGAAAAGTAAGCAACATGTTGGATCCACATACTACATGACTGTGCACTCTTGACCGCCCATAGCGGTTCTTTTATGAATACAGTGCCCATGAGAATATTCACTCTAGCAACGCTGGAGAAGCGTGAATGTGAATGCGAATGCAGTAGCCTCACAAATCACGATGGAAGCTCATGTCAACTGCATGATCAGCCTCCAGTCTACTATATGTGAAATTTAGAGGCCACTGGCGTCTTCTGCTCTCCAGTAACCAGTCGTTGAAGAAAGAGAATTGTCGTGGTGTGTTCACAAGTCCAACAGGGCTGTCGTGGTTGCAAGGGGGTTAGGTAAATGAGTGCAAGTTGCCGCAAATGGGTGTTTTTCCGACAAAGCTTGGTACTTGCAGCAAGTACTTTGTAAGTCCAACAAATAAGAATTACTCTCTTCTTCAACAACAGCAACGGCGACGAACAGGTCTAAACTACTTCGAGCGCAGTGGCCGCTCGTCACCACGCGACGAATCCTGTATGAACCAGAATCAGGCAATAGGTGGGTTTAAAGCCGCTAAGTGGCTACATAATCGTTCATGTTCATGTTCATATCTCTTATTCTTCTTGCATTTGCACTCGATGCATCTAGAGTCCTCAGAGAACTGGGATGATGATTTCGAATTCCAGCAGAGTAACGAACCGAACCTCGGCAAACATCAGGTGGCTGCAGAGCCCAGATTCTCTGTCGCGAGTTCTGCCTTTGCTGAGGATTGGGACACCGAAGGAACCCAGCAGAACATCAAGCACTCGTCATCCATGGTACTAGGGCACGGAAAGAGCCATCCTGCACCTGCACTTGAAGAATGGGCGGAGCCAGGGCCATCAACCCCCACAAAGCGCTCTACAACACAAGCAGAGAACTGGGATGACGACTTCGAGGATAGGACTGAATTCCCTGCTAAACGGCACCCCCACGCCTACTCTTTAAAAACACGTCATTCATATCATACTCCTCCTCGCCTCAAATCCGCGTCTGACCCTGAGAATTGGGATGACGATTTTGAAACAGACAAGACCGACACGACCCCAATGACAAAACGGACGCGTCAGGAGGCATATCCAGACTCATCGGATGACGAGGCTGAGCTCGGGTTCACCGATAAGGAAGAGGACAGAACTGTTACGGCTTGCAGCCGACCGCAGCTCAAGTTGAGACAGTCCCCGCCGCCGCCTGTGCCTGCACTCCCCCTGTCACTCCTCTCACCTGTAGAACCATTTCCACGCTCTCCGACGGTGTCTGTGTTCTCAATACCAACTACAAGCGGACGTAACTCAGTAGGGTATACGTCAACGTCACATCTGGCACTGAGGCCAAGCGCCTCAGGTGGCTCACTTGCTATGTTGCCACCCAGTCCACCAATACACCGTGAGCGACGCAGACTACGGAAAAAGTCACGTCCTCCGCACATAGAGAACAATGTGTTTGAGCTAATTGAAGAGCAGCGCGACTCACCTCCACCACTTCCACCATCCACTCCCGAGCGACCATCTACTTCGCCCCTCCCTCAATCTGACACAGGTTCAACTGGCCCACAGAAGACACCTCTCCTTTCGCGCATCGGATCAGTCAAGTGGGGTGTGCGCAAGAAGCGAGCCAGTACGGGGCCAGCAGAGGTAATGATGCACGATCTCGGGCACGAAGACCAAGAGCACACGCCACGCCCACCTAGCTCGCTCACATCTGTCCTTAGCTCGAGCTCGCGACCGAGCTGGTTTTTTCGCTCTGGCGGCGCCCTTGGGTCTGGGTCCCCGCCGCCTCCGCCCGCCGCTGAACTTAAGCACGAGAAGAGCATGAATAGCATACGTTCGGTCATGCTATCAACGCCCAGCAAGCTTTCAAAGCGCAAGTCCAGCAAGATGTTTGACCCAAGTAGCAGCAGTGAGGTCGTGGGGACACCCGGAAAGCCATCACTTCTCTCTGCGGCCAGAAGACCCACTTCCATGCAAGTCCCACAGGGGAAGGTCCTTTCGACCTCTACAGGGACACGGCACACCTCATATGGCTCATCAGTGGGTCGTGTGGCATCCCAGACGTTTAGTCATCCTCATGAGAGCGTGGAAGATCTGCAATCTCGGGAGGGTAGTCGGGGTTTCATGGGTAGCATGCGGAAAATTAGCCTTATCAGTGGCACAAAGCACAAACGACAGAAGAGTACTGCTGAGGTTACACCCCTCCCACCAATTCCTATGAGCCCAACATCTCTACTCCCCGACGAGTCCGAGCATCCAGATCAATTACTTCCTCCAATAGAGCTACAGCCACCATCCCCGCCCAGAACGCTGAACGGGGTGACCGCGTCACATTCTGCGCCGAATAATATTAGCCAGGGTGTCGAATCGTTATTTGTGCCATCGAGCAGCGCTCCTGTATCACTATCTCCTAAGGCCAGTCCTGTCTCTGCAAGCCGCGGCTCTCCTGGCAAAGCATCATCCCCTCAATCCGCATCATTAGGACGGGCTACTCAAGTTCCCCTTTCATCATCATCTAGTCCCTCCGTCCCCCGCAGGAACTCACTTGGCGACCTCAAGATTCCAGCGAGAATCAGTCAAGCTCAAATCAGCCTTAAACGTGACCTTGGAATGGTGAGGGAATTTGCAGCAAGCGTTGATAGTATGTACCATTTCATCTTCTACACATGTCTTGACTGAATATTTCCTCAGAACTTAAAGAACTGCGAGCAATTCACCATCACCTAATCTCCGAGGTGCACACCACCCTAACGAGCCCTCCTCTATCCCGAGCGGCTTCACCCCCCATGATTTATCTTGCTCGCCCCCGTTCCCGACTACGCTCTAACACCGAACCCAAGTCTAGCTTTTCAGAGAACAAACATTTAGCAGCAGCATTGAACGCCATCACGGCCAAGTACAAGATACCCTGGGAATGTGCCGAGCTACTTATTGAGCTCGGCGGAGGCACGTCTTCCCCTGCTTCTCCTCCGTCTTCCACTGTATCCGCACCAGCTGCGCAGTCTGATATCGACCTCCGAAAGAGCCGGGAGCGAGCAGTGACTCTGTCAGGCGAGGAATCGAAGTTGCCCTCAGGATTCGTTGGGTCGGCTGCAACGGCACAGTCCAATCTGTCATGGCGATCGTCATCAGGACGTCACGATCTCACCCAGCGACAGCTTGTCCTGTTGCGCGACATCCTCAACAGTACAGATGGTGCGCTTCCTGACGATGCATTGGTCCCAGAGGAAACGGATGTCAATCGACAATGGCGGTGGGGAGATGCAATGAGCAGCACTGTCACCCTTCCCTCTGAAGAATCAGTGCAAACTTCGCAGGATGGAAAGAAAAGGCGGCATAGCCGAATGGGCATGAGTGGGCTAAGAGATATGCTGCGGTCGCTGAAGCGGAGCTATTCGAGCCAGCCGCCACCGCCACTGCCTGTATCTACCACGTCTCTAAGCACCCAATCATCCATGGGCTCTCAGAGCCAGCATCATTATTCGCACGCGCATCTACCTCGATCACACCCCCAGCGAAGCTCTAAAACGAGTACTAGACCAGAATCGGCACGTTATACTGGGGATGTGCCAAATTCGCCGTACGATGGACAATCTTTGAAATACAAGGCATCGCCACGCCGACCCTCACTCGCGTCTATCTTCCGCCTGGGGCAGAAGAACAAGAATGTGTCGTCTGGTGCAGAGTCTTCGCTAGATAGCGTCCATGGTTCGCGCTGTGCAAGCCGAGGCAGTGCTACGACGGAGGAAGAGGATTGGGATCAGATTGACTTTGTCACGGATCTTGACGGAGCGGCGAGAGCACTGGGGATCGATGGGTCTTCCACGATCAAGGGAAAGAAGGGACGCTCACCTTATCTAAATCATTCAAATGAGATGCGCCCAATATCACCCAAGCGGGAGGCGTGTTCCTCTCAAACGTCGTTGAAGTGTGAACTATCCCCTCGTTCCATAAGACCGATGCGCTCTACCAGACTATCGAACGTGGAGGAGGTGGTTGATGATCGTCATGTACGCTCGAAATCGAACGCTCAGCACCGCGTCTCTCGGCCACGAACGAGCCCTTCACGGCCGCCGTCTCGGAACTACAAGCTTGCAATATCGGGGTCTGTACGCTCTGCGCCTCCACAGCCACTCGACGGTGACTCCTCGTTGCTCTCCGAATTTAAATTGTCGATGACACCGGAAAATATTAAGCCGCTGCTCGACAATGCGAAGGAAGTGCATCTGCGCTTAAATGAATGTATCAGGGAAGTACGTGCGCTGCTGGACGCTTCTACGAACTCGCCATCATCGTAGTTCATTCATCGCACTTCATTTTGGACTTCATCATCATCGCACCGCACCGCACCTCATGCATGGTTATATCTGTACATTTTACATGTTGTTTTCTTTTCTTTGGTTGTTTTTTCTTGTGTGATAATTGACATCACGTTGATATTTATGATAACACGTACTCTGACAGCATTCACGAACATACTTACATTACAAATGTGCAATACGAAACAAGTTGAACCTCACGCCATGAACCGGAGCTATGTCATCCAGCAAGAAAGAACAACGTGACTATAGATTTCATACTGTTTTGTCTAGTCATAAATTAACTGCTAGTGGGAATGCGTCATTCATCTAAGTTGCGAAAATACTGTATGGGCCCCATGATATAGAAACTCCAGGGTTGACACTCTACCTAAATTCAGTTACTGCGCAAGAGCCTCCGAAACAGTCAACCAGTGGTGCCCCTCCCACAGTGAGTTATCCCTGCTAGCTGATTCCGCGTCGTCCGACTCTGTCACAGGGTTCCACCCGCAACTCCCTCCCCCGGCCTCAATATGCTTCTGGAAGAATGTACGGAAGTGCGCGTTTACCACGCCTTCCGTAGGGAGGTGATCGCAGTATACCACAGGTGCACGGCCTTTATATAAGGCCCCAATTTCTGAGAGTGTTGCCCTTTGGCCCTCGATTTGAATTTCAACATCAAGCAGACGAGATGGAGGTTGAGTGGTAAGGATATGAGCCACGTATCCTGCAACATCAGATACTGCAGTAAAGGACCCTGACGTTTCTCCTTTGTTCACGATATGGAACTTGCCAGTATCAGCCAGCGCGGTGAGCCAGGGGACGAATTCGTAGAACAATCCGTTCTGTAGTCGATTTATCGTATTCAGCGCTTATTCAAACGACATACGACAAGTGACTACTCACGAAGACGCGGAGAGTTGGTAGTCCGATTGATTTTGCATAAACTGTGAATGGAGGATGAGTTAATGTTTAGTATGATATAGTATTATTATTACTTGCCTGCGAAGTCAGTCTTTTGAAAAGCCAAGCCACCTTTGGCTAATTGTGGTTTGATACCGAACTCGCTGGGTACGAAGAGCTTCACACCTGCCTCCTTGGCAGCGTCGGCGAGAACAGTCTGGCCGACTACGCCGCCGAAAACAAGTGTGACAGTTGATATGAGAACATCTACTTTATACTCGCGAAGAACTGTGGAGATCTCGGATGCAGACGTATAGTCTGCGCGCACAACCGTTAAGTTGGGATCATCAGCAGGGAGCGCAGCAACGTTCGTGGAAGCTGGCCGTGCGATGACGAGAATTGGGGCGCCAATGGCAAGGAAAGCCTGATAGCTGGCTAAGGACGATAGCTGCAAGAATATAATAACGAACGTCACCTTCACGATATGAATCCCGGTGTTAGGGCCCGCGCCGATGATAGCAAAAGACTTGAAGAGTTGTTCAGACATATTGTGTTGGTATTGAAGGTTGGTTTGTGTAGCTTTTGTCGATGACCGTGCCGACCTTTATACTCTACCTCCTGCACTGTCGCATGTATAACGGTGGTGATAATCAATACTGCCATCTCGATGTGTGAGACGGTAGTGACGTGCAGTGATACCTGAAGAATACCTGGGAGACCAGGGGAGACCCTTAAGATTGCTGCGGAGGATGACGCGTGCCTGGGGATTCATGATGGCAGTATGTTCGAGTCGTTGTAGAGCATACACGCCTGACAAAGCAGCCGCGTTACTCGATCAACGATTTGAATTGGCTGACCACGCTACTGAGTACTGATTAGTAACTCAGCCACATAGTATAACTGTATAGCAAGTACCTCGAGTGATGCCTACAATGCACACTTTGTATGCAAACATCTTTAAACTCACTCCATAGTATTGTAGGAGACTCGCTTACCGTCCTAGCCAAGATCTGTCCGTACTTGCTATAGCTAAAATATTTAGTAATTATCAGTTCTGGCCCGGGAGTGAGCAACTTCATCACATCGCACCGGATTGACAGCAAGGCTATTTTGATAAGCGAGCATACACCGCCTCTATCAGCTTTTCTTACTGTCCCCGTACGTAGAAACGAAGTTCAACATCTACCATTTCCACTTGGAAAAGATGTGATACGTTGCAGTGCGCCATCGACTCATTGACACTCGAAGGCAGTGACAAGTGGCAACACATTTGATTCGTGATATATGACAACAGGGGTCATTTCTGATTTTACATTTCTTGGATTTCAAAGATGTTACTCACCGCCTTCGTGTGCAAGTCTTCGGTATTATCCCCTAGTGCTATTGGAAAGAGAGGAAAACCACCAAATATGTACAAACACGCTGCGTCGGTACTCGGGGCACCGTCCTTCGACATTGCGAAAACATCAAATCCTGCAAGTTCATCAGTCTTTTGATTGACTCGGATACCTTCATGATCCCAACCTCAGAATCCACTAGTTCACATCAATCATTTTGATGGTCATCCACGGACACTCACTGGGCTGGCGCCAGGCGCACGCTCCCATATTTTGAATCCGACCATCTATCATATCTGACAAAGTACCCGGTCTGCTAGGCTTCTTTCGAATGTCAAATATCTCCTCCGTCTCGTTTGAAACATTCAGGAGTTATTTAACGTCCTGAATGCAAGAAATGCAGACACCTTAGCCTCAATTGCCGCTCGCCTTCCGAGAATTCCCCTGTGCTCAAGGGCACTGAACAACTCGGCGCGCTATGGATTGCGACAGCCCCTGTAGTCCGCATGACAACACTTCGCCCAAGGCTCTCATCCGATCTGACATCTGGTTTGCGGATGGCAATATCGTCCTTATTGCCGACTGTGCAGCCTTCAAGGTCCACCACGGTCAACTCGAAAGGCACTCCGAGGTGTTCCGTGACTTGTTTTCCGTTCCACAACCCGTTGACCAGAACCTCGTTGACGGTTGTCCTTCGGTTGAGCTATACGACCGTCCGACAGATTTATATCACTTACTTATCGCTCTGTATGATGGAATGTGAGTATTTAGCGCTGTCTGGGATTCAGAATCAATGCTTACAGCGTTACGCATAGCTACTTCCAGAAGCACACTGCAGCAGATTTCGTTGCCATCTCTGCTGTACTTCGTCTCTCCACGAAATACTTCATCGAGCACCTACGCGAACGCTGCATCGCTCGTCTTGCGATAGACTGGCCCACATCACTCCCTGAATGGGATCGCAGGGAGCACGACGGGACAGATCGTGAGGGCCGCTACAACCCCCGCGAGATCTTCCCTCACCCCATCCTAATGCTTCAACTCGCTTACGAACTCAACCTCGACGCTTTCCTCCCCAGTGCGTTCTATGACGTCTCACGTTACGGCCCCAGCAAGATCCTCAGCGGCACTCGTGGTCCGCCGCCAATTTTCTTCACTGAAGGCGACCCCGAAGGTCAGCTTGCCCGCCTCTCGGACGATCACCTGTGCGCTGCGTTCCTGGGTCGCGAGGCTGCGCAGTTGTACATACATACCTTCCTCGAATCTGCACTTCGCGACCGTCCGTCCACCAACTGCGCAAACGTGGGAAAGTTGAGTGCTGTGCACTGCGTTGAGTCTTTCTACTTCATACACCTCAACGTTCTGCGTTCTGTCGGTGGAATTGCATGCGGACGTGACGCAGATCCGCTATACACACTTCTACAAGCTGCGGAAATGTTGGAAAGGACTGATTTTTCAGATGGGGTGAAGACGTGCGGACTGAGAATGTGCTCGGTATGTAAGACTGAATTTGTGGATGCCGTTAAGAAGGCAAGGCTGGAGGTATGGGAGCTGATTCCGGAGTGGTTTGGACTCAGGGAACCAAGATCTGGGGAGGATATGAACTAGATTTTTTACAATTTCTATCATAGTATCATTAGAATGCGCAGTTGTCTCAACCTTATTGTACACAAAAAGCACGAAACGCGATGAATTATCATAGATACAAAATCAGATTGACATGCAGGATGGGTGGTATACAATGAGAGCACCTTTACTCCTCGCCAATTTTTGGTGCGAGGTAGTACTTGATCTCGCCTTGTCCAAACTTGTAAGATACCTAACCATAGCACAGTTTGTTAAGAACAATCGAGCAACATTAAGAACTAAACGTACAAGAAGTGGCACGTCGTTGCTCATCATGAGCTGTACCGTGTTTGATAGTGCTGAGCTCTTTGAGAAGTTGACGAGGTATTTTAAGCTGAACGTTAACGATACGTGTTGATTCATTTCGATGAGGACCCCTCCATCTGTGGGAGTTTCGTCCGACTTCTTCACTTTCTTGGCGGGCTTGCTGTTAGACTAGAGCACTGGTCAAAGAGTGAAATGAAAATAGAAAGATGACAACTCACCTTTGCGGGTGCTTTCTTACGCTTCTTGCTACTCTTCTTATCTTCCTCGTCCTCATCCTGTTCCTCCTCACCTTCATCGTCTGACTTAGGTTTGAACTCCTCCCGTTCTTCGTCCTCGTCCTCACCCTCCATCTCAACGTCAGCATCTTCTTTCTTCATATTCTTTTCTTTCTTGATTTTCTTTTTACTGCTGCTTCCTTCTTCATCGTCCTCGTCCTCGTCTTCTTCCTTAGCTTCTTCGTCTTCCTTGCCATAGTTGGCGTACTTTTCTCGGGCAGCCTCAGTTTGCTTCAACAGTACGTTACCGTTTGCGGCTTCGCCTTCACTTGCAAAGCGCACACCTTCCTTCGAAACCTCAATCCGTACAGACTCGCCAAGTTGCGACAGGTCTCGGACAATCCTCGTGAATTCCGATGCGGTCATGGTAACTCGTGCATCGTACTCTGTATCTGGAATACCAAGGGTCTCGGCATCGATGTCCATGAGTTTCATGTCATATTCCGCAATTCGGTCAGAACCTTGGTGTATGCTCGTTCATGGACATGGTCGTTTTGGAATATGACAAAAAGGGCTCACTTCTTGCTTCGTAGACAAGATTCAGAACGTCGGCATCATCAGACGCCTTGATGATACAGATGTCATCATCCTTGGCACACTTGAGTACTTTTGTGAGGGAATTGAGATTGACACCCAGAGGCATTGGGCGGTCACAGCGGTACTTTTTGAAACCTGTTGCTTCAAGCTTGACAGCAACGAGGGCTACATGGGAGTTGTCCATGGCTTGAAGGTGCTAAAAGCCGTATCATCATAATGAAATGAGTGCTGGTGGAACAAAGCCTACGATTCCTTCCTCATTGCACTCAAAGTTAGCGTCTGTTACCAACTCTTTAATGGCTACGAAATTTTGACGAATGAGTCCCGCCACGAGTATTTACGAGAATATGGCTTACAATCCAGCAGACGCTTGAGAAGGGCTGCTTCTTGGAGTCTTGCTTCCAACATGACGAGCGCAAGGGAAAGAGAACAAGGAGAAAGGGAGAGAGATTAGACGCGTCTAAGTCGCGTTGACTGATTTCAAGCGGAGACGGACGAGTCCATGGACCGCGTCTTTACGCGTCATGTCACATCTGTCACGTAATCGGGACCTATCACGGTATGCCGCTCGGCATGAAAAAGTACCAAGTCGAGCGCTGTCACCGACTATCACCACGCTCGTTTAGATATGAGCTTTGACCTAAGCAATAAGCAATTGAATGTTCTTGAAGTTGTTTGTGTTAACTACAGTTGTGTCTCTGAATTCGAATTCAAACTACATACTACTTGTGGTCCACTAAAACAAACATATGCTGTGGTAGCGTGGCTGATCTTTGGCTTTTTTGTCCCAACAAAAGCGTCGGCGATATATAACGGCTGGATTAATACCACTCCGCCACCTCAAAAACACTCTATCCTACCCGTCTCTGAGCTCATCATTATGACTGCTCAACAAGCCAATCTTACGGACCGTAGTAAAATTCGCATGGAGCGGCTCAGGCTCGAAGAGCTAGAGCAGCAACGCTGGGAACAAGAGGCACTTGTAATGCCTGAAGTGCGTACCTATGAGTTCTCTTCAGCAGTCTACAGCGCTTACTGTCCACAAAGGCGCTCAACCAAGCTCTCCTAATGTCATTTGCCTCAGTTAAGACTGAATTCAGTGACCTTGACGGGCTCTCGTGGTCACGCTACCCTGTTCCTATGGTTCCTAACCCATGGGTACGCTGCAGCCACCCTCCTTTCCTTCACTGTGTCTTATATCAATTTTCTCTCAGGCAATAGACGAACCACCCCCCACTCCAACACCGAGTTATCCCGAGCCCAGCGAATTCCCTGATGAGCCAGAATACTCTCAACGGTCACAAACCCCCTCGCCTTATACTATTTCATCTCTTACTAGCCTGACCTCTTTCCCACCTGGAGAAACCATTCGAGCACCCCGAGCACCAAATAAATCGTCTTGGTCTCCCTTGTTACCTACAAACCAGTTCACTTCGGATTCGAACATTTCAAGATGCTCAGATCGCACAAGGCCGTCGTCTTCACTGCCTACAAACTACCACATATCACCAGGCGATGCTCACTATGAACTCTACCAACTACCTTCATTTGACACATCTATGCAACCCCGGATATCCATTCCTTCAAACCACCGCAAATCTAATTCGCAACAACTTACATAGCATTACATTCATGATCACGCCCCCGTCTTTAACGTTAACGAAACTGCTTTGTATCGATACTACTGTAGCTGTACGCTTAGATGTTCAATGGACTGCCTTGGATATTATTACATCGTTTTGCGGGATCATCATGGAGAAGGGAATTCAAAGTTCTGATTGATGTTATATGTTCAAACACTCGCTCAAAGGCTATCAGCCCATCAACGTTCAACGGTCTGGACTCTGGAGATTTCCTCGTTACGTTTAGAATTTTCAGTCGTGCAAATCCCCGCCGGATGTCAGTACGACACATCCATGGCACATTTCCAAAGCAAACAATTATAACAAGATAACGTGATAGTTGGTCGAGAACAAAGACATTCAGGGTGATCACATATGAAGCCTGTCTCCAAGGAGTGTATATCTGGAACGTGTTTCAGTTGATAATTTAAATAATCAGTAATGTTCGGGTCCAGACGCATTGGCAAGCCACAGCACTTATGTAACGATGCACGAATCGTTAGCTTTTATGTCAGTCTTGTCCATCAACAAACGGGTCCTCGTCCTCAGATCCTCAACTTCCTCTTGCAGAGCCCTCGATTTCTCCCTTTCCTCCCTCCGGAGTTGAATAAGGATAGGTAAGATATCCCTAGCGCTCTTCCAAGGATGAAAACGTTTTGTTATCTCCACCCGCAAATAATCATCAAGCAAACGACACGAACGGACACCAAACGATGTCCAGGTTACGCCAACTTCGAGTTTGCATTTGGGTGGACACAGGTGACTCAAAAATGCAGCGACGGCTTCCGGGTCCTGCGCTCGCGACGTTCCTACAGACAAGAAACAAAGGGCTGCAAAGGGCTTCAATTCTAGCGTGGGAGAGATATTTGAAGGGTTGGCATCAATGAAAAGACCTAGCCGGCGCAGTTTTGGGCAGTGGAGGGCAAAGGGGATGAGAGCTCGCAAATCAAGTGTAAAATCGTGCATGATAAGTGGTTCCTCATTCAGAGTTAGACTCTCGAGAGACGGCCACCGGCATGCAAGTTCCTCGATCTCCTCTAGAGTAATGTTTACCGGGTATTTGTGCATGACCTGGAATGTACTAAGATTCGGGAACGAAAGTAGTGGTGCAAGTGTGTTGAACGTGATTTGCTTTGCGGGAACTAGCTCCGATTCTCCGGCGACGTAGTGCGCCAATAAGATGTACAATTCGGAGAGACCGCGGCATCGCTCTGAAAGCATGACGAGCAACGTGTGTAATTCTTCGGGTTCATGTTCAACATAGGTGTTGATGTATAGGGATGTGAGATTGATGGGCGCAAAGTCCGCATTCATGAATCGCATGACATGTTCAATGCGAGCAGTGACGGCCAGGTCCCACAGTGCGGGAAATGCTCCTTCCTCAAGAACAGGAGCAAAGATGTCCACATCCTTTTCTTCACCAAACCCTTGCTCACGCCCATACTCGAATTGAACGATGTTGATGTGCTTCATCCGCGAAAGCTCAGACACGATGCTCGACGTGAGGAAAAATTCGGGGAGAATGATCGTTTTCAGATCCGGAAGACCTCGAAGAAGTTCTAGGATGGCTGTCTCAATGTGTTGCACGCGGTAGGGAACACGGAGATCAAGTGAGTGGAGGTGTGGCGCGCGGACGCAGACATCGAGAAAAAATGAAACTTTATCTTTGTGGCGTACAGGAGGCGCAGATATAACGAGGCGCCTCAGGCGCTGATGCATGAATAGTGTGGCTCGTTCCATGCACTCGACATCTTCGTAGATCCACTCAAGAGTATGCAGGTTCGGGAGCATATCGAGGGTTGTCCTCGTCCTGGCCATATCATCGAGCAGACCAGAATAGTCTATGTCCCTGTCCTGCTGAAATCGCAGAATGCGCACGCGGTTGGCATACCTCTGGAATCTCGTCCAGTCCCTTGAGTCTGGCAGTCCATCGAAGAACTAGAACATAATATCGAAACCAAAAACAAAATGAACAGGAGAATGGTAAAGAAAACAGGATGACGCACGTTGTACCGTCCCGTTATCGTGTATGGCCTCAAGAGAGTAAGAAGCCTGGAAAGACCGTCTACCTCTTTCCAGATGATGTCCAGAGCAATTTCTGACCATTGCTTGCAAACGCACGCATTGTTCACATGATCATCTTCATCCACAAAGCTGAGGATAATTCCCAGTAACTCCGGAATAAACAACACCCTGTGAGGCTGCATGACAGACATGAAGGACGCTAGAATATTGCGCTAGCATCTGTAATTTTTGTACATAGCAAGCTGAGTCAATCTCGGCAAGTCCCGCCGAGAGTTCCTTGCTTCTGATTCCTGACTCGGATCGTCGCTTATGGCCTATTAACCCTACTAGGGCTACACAAACACAGATGACAGACGTTCCCGCTGTCTCTACTTTCTCGGCCTCAGGAGAGGATGCGATTACTCGCACCATAGAGTTGAATATAGATCCATCTAATACGCAAAACATAGCTCCGTCCGACTTCCTTGAAATTTACGAGATCGAACGAACAGTAGCTGCGATCGTAGAAGGGAACTTCAAACGAGTGAGATCGATCCATCCTGCTTTGCCCAGGCTGATCATAGCTCATACTAGCATAGATAGCTCTCCAGTTTCCTGATGAACTTTTGTGTCATTCTGTCCCAATCTACCGTCTGCTCAAAAGTAAAGCAGGCGAGGGTCATGACATCTACGTTTTAGCCGACACTTCTTACGGAAGGTTAGTCTCTACTCAGTGTATAAGGCATCTTTTCACCCGCTTCGAACTCCAGTTGCTGTGTTGACGAGGTTGCAGCACAACACGTCGATGCAGACCTAATCGTCCATTACGGTCACGCTTGTTTAAGCCAGTGCGTGCCCGAGACCTATCCCCGATTGAATGCAACGTCACGTTCTACTATAGACCTTCTAGGCTATCTGTAGTCTATGTCTTTGGAAAGAAGCCTATTGATGTTGATGATTGCATCGACCAACTCGGTCGATGTTTGACGACTCAATTACAGCAAGATACAACTAGTAACAGTAATAATCGACCGACCGTTTTACTTCGCTACGATGTTGGATATTCCTGCCGTGCAGGTGATTCAAGTTTCTTCTTTGGATGCTGCTGTGCAACATAATCTTACCAGTAACGCAGATGTGATTGCCCATAGGCTGCAGAATGAACTGCAGAGCCTAAATACTAGGGTCTTGCACGACCCACTTCCAACTAGGCTTGATCCTAAGACCACCGTGCAAAGTCCCCAAACTTTCGAGCAGACTGGTGCAGAGTCCGATGAGGATAGTTTCACGAATGTCATTATCGCATATATTGGTGGCGAAAGCCTCAACCTTACAAATTTATTGATGACGCACTCTCATTGCGAGGTAAATTGCCATAATGTTATCTGATATTGGCGTCTTATATGAGTTTGTTTTTTTCAGGTGTATGCATACGACCCCTCCACGAGATCCGCTCACTTGCAATCGCATAGGACTAATAAATTGTTAATGCGACGCTTTGCGATGGTCCAGAGAGCACGAGATGCAGATGTTTTTGGTATCCTTATAGGCACTCTTGGAGTTAGTCAGTGCTTTTATTTCTCGTCATCTTTGTAATCACTAACATACATCACTAGCATCATATCTACCCCTCATTGCCCACGTCAGAAAGCTTCTAGCTCGCGCACAGAAGAAAAGCTATACGATTAGCGTCGGCAAGCTGAATCCTGCGAAGCTCGCGAATTTCATGGAGATCGAGTGTTTTGTTTTGATCGCATGTCCTGAAAACAGTATAATAGATTCCAAGGTTGGCCTGCCTCGTTGAAGTCAACGAGTTACTCACTCTATGACACACAGGAATTTTTAAGACCGATCGTTACCCCTTTTGAACTCGAGGTTGCACTTCAAGCTGAAGGCACTTGGAGTGGACGATACGTGTTAGATTTCGAGAAAATACTCGCTGGAGACTCTGAAAATGATATTGGTGCGCTTCCACCAGTGCTGTGGTTCAACTCTTTATACATAGTATCTAGGCGCCACTACCGAAGATAATGGGGACGATCCAGATCAACCGACTTTTTCCTTGGTTACTGGAAAATACCGACAAGCAAAACGCTACGGCAGTAAGCACGATCTCGACGTACTTAACTGCATCTTACATCTTACATCCCAAAGCTGGAGGCAATGAGACCCTAACCGAGGAAACGTCAGCTGCTCTTACTCTTCGAAACCAAGATGGTGCTCTCTCAAAATTAGCTGATAGTGCGGCAGGTGAGTGATCTGCTGCCGTATGACGTTCCTCGTATGATATGTGGCGCAGCATTGTTTCTTCACTCCCGCTCCTATCAAGGGCTAGAAGCTAAAATTGGAGAAGATTCTCCATCTGTCCTAGAGCAAGGCCGCAGTGGTATAGCTCGTGGTTATTCTGATGATCATTTATAAGTATGTCGGCATTTTAATTTCGAGGAACGCTGTGGTATCCCTCGAATTGTTTCGAGATCAAGAACACCGTGTCGTATCATATCAAGTTGTTATCTGACGAGAGATTCAAGAGCTCAGCTACTGCTCAATTGAACAGCAGGACCGGTTTCATCATCAGAACTCTGTTTAACCGTGAAACTCCGTGGTTTGTCGAGGCCATGTCCCGAGGAAGTGCAGTGTCTCAGGCGAGTTCCTGATCATGTATGAATTCGGATGTCTCATGTTCATATGAATTGCTCATCACCGGGATGTTTTGTTAAATCGTGCCAAACTTTCAAATCAGTAGAAGGAACGAGTGGAGTGAGTGTGGTATTGGAAATGGTGTGCGTTAGAAGATAAGGAGAAAGATGTGTTAAGCATTAAAAACCGATAACTTGAGCAATCTAATTAGTCCTTTCGATGTTCAAGATGACCTCCGGGACCCCACCAACCCCTTTCTTTTGCGCTGTAAAATAATCGGACAGCGGCGAACAGGGAGAGGAGGTAAAAGTAAATATCCACTTTCACGCTGCCATCGACCTTGCGATCTGTGCCAACTGCTCCGCCATCTCGGGGTAGTTGCGTGTGAACTCCAACTGTGCCGTACTTGCCTGTAAACCGCCTGATTAGATCAGAATGAGCAGATGCGCTCACATCGACTCACATATTGGTATGTAAGGGCATTAATCAGCTCTGGCTCACTGCGCGCTAGTTCCGCTTGCCTCTTGAACATCTCAACAGCGCGGTCAATCTTGCCCTGTTGCAATGACAATTGGGCAAGCGTAGCGACTGCAGGCTCGCACTCAGGATCAATTTTCAAGGCTTCATCGCAGCACTGTTCTGCGGCAGCGATGTCTTGTTTCCATTGGTAGATGGCAAGGCCCTTGTTAACAAGAGGGAGAACGTTCATCGGAGGAGGTCTGGTTGAGTGGAAGTAAGTTGATGTATTGGAGAGAAAGAGAAAAATCGTACTTAGCACGCTCGAGCTCCACAGCACGATCAAACTTATCAACAGCATCCACGAAACGTTGTTGATCCAACAACAGCTCGCCACTGCCAAGTCATTAGATGAAAGTTATCACCGAATGTAGCTACTCACTAATAGTTCTGAGGCTCGCTCCGTTGAGGGAAATTTGTCATCGTCCGTCGGAAAGTCGCCATACTCCGCGCGAGTTCACCCATCTTGTACAGGGCAACGGCAAGTTGGATATGCGAGAATACAAATGTGTCATCAAGCTCGCTGGACTTGGTGTAGTTGTCTGCGGCATCCTTGAACTCATTGGTGATAAAGAGAACTACGAACATATGAGTGACGGTTGGCCATGCAGGAAACAAATTGCTCACCTTGTCCACGGTGGTAATAGATGTCGGGGTCCTGGGGGTTGTGCTTGATCGCTTCCTCAAAACACTCAAAGGCCTTCGTACCCTCGCCTTGCTCCATGTGCACGCTCGCGATCTTCACCCAGCTTTGTGTCAAGGAGGGATAGATTTTAACGGATTCATACAGGTCATCCTTAGCGCCAGACACGTCACCCATAAGGAACCTATACAAAACTTAGTCGGCGCATTTCAGAGTAAGGAGTAGCTGACTTGAAAGTGCCGCGAAGGTTGAGAGCTTCGGCTTTGCCAATCTCCCATGAGATACCCTGCTCCATTGCCTCATTCACGAGCGAGACAGCGTGCGCATAGTCGGCAGCTGCTAAAGCTTCCAATGCGAGTAGAAGAGTATTATCACCAGTTGATGGGTTCTCCGGGAGTGCGGGCAGGGGTCCTGTGCAAGATCAGCTTGCAGAGATAAAAAGGATGGAAGTGAATGTACATACGGACACGGAATGCCGCAAAGTAAGCTGAAACAAACGTGAATGAGGGAAGTCGAGGTTCGCGTGTCTAAACGCCAATGAGTATGTATGTATCAGTGATTACCGCAATTGTTATACTCACGCTGAGGATGACAGCAGCTTTCTCCATGGCAATCTTCTTCAAGATGCGTTCCACAGCCTGTGCAGCCGACTCATTTTGGAATTTATCCAAGATAGTGGCAGCAGTGAAATCCCGCAGAGCCTCCTGGTTTCTGGACAAGGCTTCAAGAGCATTGGCACGCCTGTTCAGCGCTTTTACGTAGCTGGCATCAGCACGCAACGCTTCATCACAGTCCTGGACCACCAAATCATACTTAGGGGGTGTCATGTTCATGTAACCTGATAAGCGAATAAGACATGCGTCACGGTGATATTGACGGAAGGAACGCACATGCCGCACGGTTGCTGTAGTACACGGACTCCGATTTGGTTGCCACCTGGATTGCACGCGTATACATGTCTACTGCCTGCTGGAACTTTCGGTTTTGGTAAAGCGTGTTACCCCGTGTCTTGAGTGTACCTGCCAACGTTGTGCGCTCCTGTGGGATTCTTATGTTGAAGTGAACAGATAAAGTGCGCATCCAAAGTACTGACCTCCGCCGACATTCTGGCGATCTCTTCCACTGATAGTGCATCATCTATTTGGTGGTGAGCACGAGCTTCCAAATTGTAGTAATACTGACCTTCGTCAGCAACTTTTGGCTTTATCTCCTCAAGTAGAGGGCCGTCTGAATCATTGACGGTCTTCCTCTTCTTTGAAGACTTCTTTTTGTCTCTCGGCTTACCCTTCTCCAAGTCACAGCCTGGACCGCGCGAAGTGGAAGCATAGTAAATAACACCTCCAACAGCGAGCGCGGCAGCAGCTGTGCCTATAACGACTGCCTTTTTATTTTCAGCCACGAAGTCCTGTATTCTCTCGAAGTAGGAGGTTGAAGAGGTAGTAGCCATGGTGGAGGAATAGACAGACGGCAGTGACGCGCAAGAATGTTCGGCTTGAATATAGCTACAACCAAAATTTCCAAAACGTCGTGCGAATTTTACGTCATATGTGTTGCAGTCGACCCCCCGCATGCCTTTTTAGAACCCTCTGCACTGACCGACTCTTGCGTATCTGGCCAGTCATGCATAGATATCATTTATGAATATCACACTGAGTCTGATCAGGTCGCTGGCAGGTGTCTTCAAGTTGTAATTACAACTTGGTCTTCCTTGTATGTGGCTTGACTCAGACTATGGGTGACTAGCAATTCATAGTCCAGCATTTGGTTTTCGGGATCGGCCCCCCGACCTCTATCTTGAGCATGTCTCCTACTTATAATTAGTAAGGAGCAATTTGATTCAGGTCATGCGTACCGTTTCTCACCGAATCTCACATGTGACTAGTTCCAACCTGGCGCTCAACGTCAACTCTCACCCCCATTCTTCATTATTTAACTGTCGTCGGTCATTAGTTGACTCTTAGATAATTTATTTGCTCCAGTTACCGGTGTAGGCCATGTCTTCATCACCGCCAGTGCCCCCCTCAGCTACGGGAGCTTCTCAAGTTGAAGAGAAACCACTTCCGAAACCTCCGGCTCCGGTCATGAATTTCCCAATTTCCCCAATTCCGAAGAATCCACTTGGAGAAGGACGGTACATCAAGACTGCTGCTGCTCTCATCATTGGGTATGTCCAATCTTGTGTGGTAAAGCACACAGCTCAAATCATGGCGACACCATAGAGACGAAATCCTGAATGGGAACACGTTGGACCGTAACTCGAATTACTTTGCGCGCTTTTGTTTTGAGAATGGTATTGAGCTGTGAGGGTTTCTTTGGCAATTCTTTCTATCCCCGCTTATTTCGTGTGCAACAATGCAGCCAGAAAATTGAGGTCATTGCAGACGACGAGCTCGAGATGTAAGTGAATTCGTCCTTGTCGTCATTAGATGAGATAACATGGATTTCTAGTATTGAGGCTAGCCGAAGGATGGTCCAGAAATATGATTTCGTCATCACTTCTGGTGGTATAGGGCCCACTCACGATGGTATAGTGCATCAACCCGTTATGACAGTCGGAGATCTGAATACCTTCATTTTGAGATATCACATATGCCTCGCTCGCAAAGTCTTTCGGACAAGAGCTCAAATACCATGATGAAACTATCGTGCGTATGGAAGAATCCAGCCGACATCGCACATGGATCGCGCAGCAGAGCGAGGAGCAACGCACCGCTCGTAGACGTATGGCACTGTTTCCGGAAGCTGGCGAGGTCCTTCTTGTCGCCAGCGACATCTGGGTTGTGTGTATTCCCATCTCTTCGCGTGGTGTCGTGCACTAAGATGGATTTTCAGCCTGTTGTTCGACTGGAAGGCAAGCTATGCATATTTCCAGGAATCCCATCACTTTTCCAGAAGCTATTGGACAACTTGAAGCCTTTCTTGCCTTTGCCTACGGAAGATGCGCGTCCCTTCCGGCTTCAAGTCTTTACTCCGTAAGTCATTGACGTTGTTCCTGCACTGCTACTGGATCAAGCTCCTGATGATCCTTGAAGACTTCCGGAATCGTCCATTGCGCCATTCCTCACAGCTCTACAGAATCGCGTTAAGCCTGAGAATATCCGGATAGGCTCTTACCCATTCCTTCAGCCAGGGGCACACATTGCACTAATTGGATTGGACCGTGAACGTGTGAAAGAACTTGGGTTGGAGGTGGAGAAAGAGTTGCAAGGACGTATACTGAGTGCGGAGGAGACCGAGGCCATGACCAAGGTAAAGAGACAGTGATGTAACACTATTGTATGGCGTTATGTGCGTAAGGGATGCACAATCACCTTGGTGATGTGAAAAGCTCGAAAATTGGCAGGTTCTGGACCCTTTGGTCGACGCTGCAGTTTCAGTTCAACGTCTCCCACAAGAACGTCGTTGAGCAACACCAAGGTTGTCTTAGTAAAAGCTGTCGTGTTGTTCTCTCTCTGCGACACCTGTGTTCGCCATGAGTTGCAAACCTTGACGAGACACGACGGCAATATATATTTGCCTTGCTCTGTGAGCCATATGTCAAGTCATCAGCCAGTGCGGGAACATGTAGCGCGGCTCACACGACAATTGGCAGTCCCAAGACGGTGGGACAGAGGAGTAGTGTAGCACAATCGAGCTCTGTGGTCTCGGCAGATGATGCCCTGCTGCTAAAATCTGTCTTCGAGGCTGTTGGGAACATTGCCAAGAGAAGAGGAATGATGGTGGTGGCCGGGAGGACATCTGAAGTAGATCACATCACGTATCAACGACATATCAGGCCTAGGTAGGTATGCATGCAATATGTATGCGACGGCTGCAGTAGAGTATAGTGGGTGACGATGGCATGTGAAATGGAGAAACTTGATACTATCATGATAGCGTAAAATGCTCAAAGCTTCGTAGCCTCCGAACTCTTTGAGTCAGGTCGGCACTGCTGCTCCAGTTTAACGTCTCCTGCAAGAACGTCCCTGAGTAGCACCAAGGCTGCCTTTGTGAAAGCCACCATATTCTTCTCTCTATCTGCGACACCTGTGTTCACGACACGAGTCGCAAAACCTTCATGAGACACGACGGCAATAGATGTTTGCCCTGCTCTGCAAGTCACAAGAGTCAATGTTGAGTTGTCAGCGACATGAAGGATATTGAGGCCCACATATGGACAAACGGCGGTCCCGGGACAGTAGGACCTGTAGCACCAGACTCCCCGATGCAGTATGTGACATCCATCTGTTCCCTGACGTTCGCTGCGAGCTCTGTGACGAGTTCCGGCGTGGGCCCACTAGGTAGGACAGTCCATTAGCAGCCGGTTGACAGTAATGAGCCACTGCGATAAACAGACATGTAGTTCACCAAGTTCTCATCGGTCCAACCTGCCCAAGCCCTCCGTGACTTTGTGGTGTACACTGTCGCTCCTCCCACGAAGAACTTGCTCGCTCCAGATACAGAAAGGAGGGAAGCTGACACCAGACCACCCGTTGTAGTTTCCGCCACTGCAAGCGTCGACGAAGTCGACCTCAGAAGCCCGGAAATTTCAGTCAAAAGAGGCTTAAAAGAGACTGGAGGGAAAGAATAATCTTCTGTAGGTTCCATTAGAGATTCTCAGCTAACATGTTTGCGCGAGCGATTATCATCCCCATGCGGAGTCACAATTGTTTTGATCGTTACATATACTAGGGGTTCGCTGTGCGAACTTATGACCTTGCTCCGCAGACTTTTTAATTCGTGGGAATTGCATCAGGAAAACCCCAACTTACTTAATCTTGCTTAATCAACTTAGCCACATTTGTTTCCTCTCTCATGCATCATCTACCTAGTAAATTTTGTATTTTTTTAGTGTAACCTGTAACAAAATATGTATGCTAATATGACTGAACAACTTTTTCCCGAATATGTCAAATTTGAATTTCTAGCAAAGTAGGCTAAGTCACTAAGTACGACTTAAGTCTGTTTAAGGCAAGTTTAAGTAAGTTGGGGTTTTCCTGATGTGGGTCATGCAAATTTTCGACCCAGGACGACAAATGCCAAATAGACCAATGCAGGATCTAGCTGCTCTGTCATCGTGCTTAGAACTACTTTTTGCCATTCCTGTTCAAAGAATATCTTACGTTGCTCAGTGTCATTACAGGCCTCGTTGGACATCAAAAATCTGTGTAACTGAATTGTAAACCCACTGTCAACTAACAGTCTACCAGGAGCCCCTCGGAGGATACAAGGTTAGGGGTCTGTTGAATTGTGTCACTGATACTCATCCGCACCGTAGTATTTCAGAACCACAATGTGACTACAACCATTCTGGACAGCCTCAGGATATCGGATATAGTCGCAATGAGCCATACTTGTCAGTGCATGAGAGTGTTGGGCCATGAGGTGGTTCACAGAAGATTGACATGGCTGTTGGAACCATTTGCGAGGCATCGTTTGTCGACTTTCCTCTCAGCCCTGAAGGACGCTGAGGGTGTGATAACTGGTTCCACTGTATGGGCCATGGTGGAACACGACGAGGACTACATCAGAAGGGATCTCAACATCATCGTCCCATACCGAGCATTCGCCGCTTTACACAGAGCAGTGGAGGACATGTTGGGATTTACACCCATCTCAAGTGTACCCCATCCAGCTCTGGCGCCTAGCATCGGCAGATTTTGCAGATATGCGTGTCATGAGCGATTTATTACGCTGTCTGCATCACATGAAGGGGAGTCTGTCCTGCATATCATTCTCAATGCCCCAACGACCGCAGATATGCTGTTCATGACCACCGGTGGAGTGTGTTACTTTTATCCCTGATGGTTTGAAAGTCGGTTGGTGATTCAAGGCCACACTGGAGATTTAGTACCACAAAATAAAAAATTGGGATGTGCCAGTGAATTGAATGATGAGTTTGAAGTGGAGACAGGAACGGCCTGGCTTGGGAGGTCCTGTGGCAATCTGTGTCCTACATACTGGCACCATGTCGAAGAGAGACACCTCCGGGCATCCATCGATTGGAATGCAGAAGATTCCGTAACCAATGTGTTCCACAACATCGACATCGAATGGCGGTTGAATACGGTGTGCATCAATCTGAAATGTCCACATCGTGTAGAGGTGATGTCGCTGAACTTTGAAGGTGTTGGTGCGCGCAACCGTGAGTTTCCTCTCAAACGTCAAAATTCGAGGGAAGGACTGACTTGATGAAAAAGGTAATGATGTCAAATTCATCCTGCCTGAGATACGATGTCGCAAACCGGTGAGCAAGGATATGGGCATTTGCTAGATGATGCTAACCTAGAAATGCCGCGAGCGGTTTATGCAGATAATCAAGGGCGTATTCTATGGAGCAGGCTGCTCCTGGCCGTTCCTCGTGCCCATTCCAGTGCGAGACGGGGTGGAAAGGTCCCCCACACTGGACGACCTCGACGTGAGCTATTGGGTGAAACAGCGGGACCTGTACGAATGCACAGTGACACGACACCACCTTTGTCGCACCTTCAGCAGAGTGCCCGGGTTCAATGTGACCATGGATGGAAAGTATACGTTGTACTTTGAAAAACGTCAGCCTTCGATGGCTCCAAGCCGCGTCCTTAGAAGAATGGGCAGCATGGGTGGCTGTCGAGAGGCACTTCATGGGAGCGTGGTACTTGTCAAGCAAACGGGAGACACTCCAGACGTCATCGTGGATATGACGAAACGGGATCAACTCATGGCCAATTTCCTGATATCAAGGTATGCTTCAGAGCGTTGCAGATCGCGATGGTGACTGAAGTAGCAAGCAGTGCATTACATTATGGTGTGTTAGCATAGAAATGAACAATCCCCGACTCCCACGTTAGTGGGGGAGGGTCTTTGTCAGACTCAAACGTACATTTTCTCTGTACTTGCTCTTGCAACCTTAACTTTATTCTCTTCACTATACAGTCTGTCTCGGCAAATCCCTCACATTGATCAGAGTGTTTCCAGCCTCCGATTATCCGTGGTGGTAGTATTGGCCTCTCAAATCAACTTGCAATTGATGTCGTTTGCAAAATTTCTCATGCCAAATGCATTTCCATATCCCTCCTCTCTACCCACAGTTGACTACTTCTGCCTCAGGCGGAGGCAGGTCTGGTTCTACTTGCGCCTGCCTCAGGCGGGTGCTTGTATGTCCATTTTTTTTTGATCCTGGTCATATTCTGGACACGTCATATGCTTGCAATTCATACAGAGAACAAGAACGAGTTCGTGGACTGCAATTGCCGATGATGAGCACATCCCACAGGACCAAGCAGTGAGCACTTTGTTGCACGACACATTCAACAACCATCTTTTTGTTCACATGCTATCATTTGTGTAAATGCCATATCTCAGTTCGTCACTCTACACTCGCGTTGGTTATCATTGACAATGCATACTAAATACAATGGCAAAGTATCAATCATGCATTCTCTTCCACACATACAGTGTGCACAGCAGAATCATATGCAATAGAGTGAACCATGCCTGTGGACATCAGTCGCACGTCACACAATGATATTGTTGACTTACATGTGAGCGCTGCGCAATGCGCACAGACCTGCCCTGTGACCATCAACACACTCATTGCAGGCTGGTGGGATGAAGATCGAGAGGGGGATTCCCGAATACAGGTGCTGGGGACTACGTGAAACTGAAGAGCACGTCCACTCACACGATCAACTACAGAATGCAATGGTGAGCAACTGCGCGACATTGATGTCAATGATCCACGTACTAAAGATGAAAGCACCCCGGGTCCCGCAAAGACATTCAACAACGAGTACAAGGCGTCACACATCTGCGGTAGCAGCGATACAGATAGCCTTAGTGTATATACAGAACTACAGAGGGTACATCCGAAGCGGAGATAGGAAAAGGATAGATCCAGCTTACTCGGGAACTGGCGTGTCAGCGGCGCTACGATTCTCTTTCGACGTGTACATTCCATTCTAACTCTGTCTACTAACATTTTGATCTTCTTTGTTGACAATGGCAATGCAAGATATTGTGTCTGAAGATGTTGCACATGTCATGCAATTAGCGAAGAGCCTCATGATGAAAGAGATCATCAGTCAAACAGGATGTGGAGCTTTCACCTGAGCTCAACAATGTAAGCGGGCTGATATGTTGTCTGCCATTGAAAAATCCCCAGCTTTGCAGAACTCGATCGCAGAAGCATTCAAACGCAAGCAGCACGTCCGTGCCGATCAGAAGACAGAAGACATCAAACGGGCATGATTGACTGTTCTTACTCCTCCTCTTGACTCAGCATATGATTCGTTTCTTCAGGATGTCGATGAAACGGTGAAAGAGAAATGTCTAGCAAATTTCATTGATCGCACAGGAAACGTACCACTTCACAAAGTCACCTGCATCGTTTGTGCTGGCGAGTACTTCTCTTCGGAAACTGAACTTGTCGACATTGCCAATCTTCCAAATCCTCATCTTCTTGTGCCTTCAATACAATGTCGCCATCCCACTCAAGAGACTTTTAAATCCATGTTATTGTATATGCCTGCCTTGATCAATCCCAATGGGGCTCCCAGTAGTCATGTTTGTTCGGGGTGCATGCATGATTTGCACTACAATCAAGTGCCATCTCATGCGTTGGCTAATGGTCTTTGGGTTGGAAAGGTCCCACCAGAACTGGGCATTCTCACTTTGCCAGAACACCTTCTTATAGGTCTTCATTTCCCTGCAGCTTTTGTTATCAAATTGTACCCTCAAAAAAAGGGAGCCAAAAACTGGGATACATCGGCTCTGAACAGTGGCATGCGTGGCAATGTCTCGACCTACCGTCTCAATACTCAAGACATTTGTGCCATGATCGAAGGCAATTTGTTTCCTCGACCACCTGACATCCTGTCAGCTACCATCGGAGTTGGTATCATAGGCCCAAACAATCTACCTGCTCGTTGTCTACCATCCATCCTTTTTGTCAATCGACTGCACATGCGAGCTGCTTTGTCATTTTTAAAACAGCACAATCATCTTTACCAAGGCATTATCATTTCCGACGAAATACTTCAGCGTCTGCCTGAAAATGGTGTTCCTTCCGAATTATTGTCCATCATCAAGTTTTCACCTGAGGTTGATTTACTGGAGCAAGAAAGAGAAGGATATGTTGTCGAAGATGAGGATGCAGAAGGTTCGTTTGCTCACGTTCACTTTGTTCTTGTCTTCATAGTCATTTCACAGTCACTTCGTATTTCGACACTCATGTCAGTGTACAAGATATAGTTGACGATGATCTAGAAAGTTCCCCAACGAGTCAGTATTCATGTCGAATAGCTTCTCTCTTGCTCAACGCCGGTCTGTGTTATCAGTGAACTCTAATGTCTTTCCTCTTCAAGCTCATGGTGTTGTCGATTCGGAGGTACAGGATTTACCCAACAATGAAGTACTGGCTCATGCTCTCGCCAATACTTCAGCTTGTGGCCACGAAGTATATGCAGTGAAATATGGGTCGGAATTTGTGAATGAATATGCCCGTCGTAATGCCATGGGCGATTGTACGAGTGGAGACTTTGCACACCCGAATCATCTTCTTGGAGCGTTTCCTTGCCTTTTTCCATATGGCATGGGAGGTTTTGAGATTGACCACCCTCGTTCTATCTCATATGAGAACCAAGCGAAATGGACCATGAGATGTGCGGACAAAAGGTTTAGGAAAGACATCCATTTCATGTTTCAAGTCTTTGGCGTCATACAAAAACATCAAGTGTGTCGTGCAGCTGTTCTTCAAGTGGAAAAGAAGGCCTTTCATGCGAACGAACAGGCTTTTCGATCTCTGACTTCCCAAGATTTGCTGGAAGCTAGTGTTGAAGAATCCAATCATCAGATGCATTCCAATCCTATAGTTCGATCTCTCAAACAACACGTCAATGCCGTTCGAACCAAGGTGATCGGCACTGATGAGTCTCGAACTAAGATATGTGCTTTAATCTGGGGTATGACGATGATGAAGAACCCTCCGTCATTGTGGATCACCATAAATCCGAGTGACACCCATGATCCTATTGCACAAGTGCTTCTGGGTGAAGAGATCAACATGGATGCATTTGATGTCAAGGGAGGTCCTGATTCGGCGCATCGTGCTATCAATATTGCAGTTGATCCATATGCAGCGGCACAATTCTTCCACTATACGATTCAAGTCGTTCTTGAAGAAATGTTAGGCATCACAATAGCGAGCAATGGGCATATTAGTCGCAAGAATGGCATCTTTGGGACCGTGGAAAGCTACATAGGCACCGTCGAAGCTCAAGGCCGAGGCACCCTTCATTTACATCTTATTGTTTGGTTGCAAGGTCTTTATATCTTTTTTTCTGTGTCGCACAATCTTTTGACTTCACTTCAAACAGGCGCTCCTTCATGTGCCAAAATGAAAGAGCTACTTCAATCAGATGTATTTCGAATCCGAGTGGCTGAATACATCGCTTCCAATATTCGAGCCAATCACAACGACATAACAGAGCAAACATTGGCTATTGTGCCATGTGAAAGAGCTGTATCATATTCTCGCCCACCAGGTCCTCGGTTACCTTCATTTTCATCACAATGGCAACGAGTGGAAAAGCAATTGGTTCGTGCCATTCAAATTCATAAATGTGGCCCAGGTTGTCTCAAGTCATGGCGAGGTCGATTGTTTTGCAAATGTTGAGCACCTTTTCCTGTTGCTGAAGAATCCTGGATCAATATCAATGGTGAATGGGGACCTCGGCGACTGTATCCCTTCATGAATAACTGGAACCCATGGCTATTACTAGCCATTCGCACTAATCACAATTGTAAGCTCATCATGAACGGTGGGGACACAAAGCATATCAGTTGGTATATCTCGATGTATGCCGCCAAACGTCAACAACATTCTGCCAATGCCTCCGCGTTACTGGCTAAAACAATCGCTTATCATAAGCAGAATGAGGCCCATAATTCAGATGTCCAGCTACTCAACCGTTGTCTTATTCAACGCTGTGTGAATTCTCTCAGTCAGGAGCAGGAGTTCAGTGCTCCAGAAGTTGTATCCTATCTAGTTGGATGGGGTGATTGATATGTGTCTCATCACTTCGAGACTATACATTGGAGTTCTGTTACTTCACTTCTCAAGAAGACTTATCCGCAGTTGTGTGAGAGCCGGTGAGTTGTCAACTTCTTTAGCAATCTGTTATTAATACATATACTCCATCTGATACTAGATCACATGTCATACAGCATACTGCAGAAAGTGGAACTGTTGATGTCAGTGATTGTTCACCACAGGCAAGTGACATTAGGATCTTCATCGTGAAGTTACACCAACCTAATTTGGCGCTGTCTCTAGAGCGAATATGCTGTTATAAAAATGCATGAAGGCTCAATACGACTGCAAGATCAAATTCATGAATACATTGACCGTCCTACTGAACTAGAAGGTTTCAATTATCTTGAATATTTCTTGAACACTTATGACTTTCATACGCACTCATCAAACTCTGATCTTGTACCAAAAAGGAGCGATGCAAGTATTCATCTCTTTTATAAGGAAGGGATCAGTCACGCGGGACATGTTCGCACTCTTCGCCAAGACAATCACAAAACCATTCCACATATTCCTGGCCCATGGTTTCCTCGCACTGATGATCCTGCAACACGTTCTTTCTATTGTGCTTCGATTCTCGCTCTCCTTAAACCTTGGAGGAATATTATGCAGTTAAAAGAGGCAGACGAAAGTTTCATTCATGCTTACGAGACTTTCATGACTACAACAACATTCTCCATTTGCAACATCGTCAATAATCTCCAGTATTTTCACGAGTGCTGTGACAAAGCTAAAGAACATGAATCCACATCATCAAGCATCCCGCACGCTTTGGCAGATTGTCTACGATTTGATGAAGATTTTTACACTGATGAAGAAGAAAGTAACATCAATTCTGCTACCGAGGAATCAATCACAGATGAAGACATCATGCATGCTGCTAATGGCACATTTGGTTCTCGAGAAATGGTGTATGCCGATGTGGCGATGAATATAGCGGAGGAGTATGGCTTCTTTGAGCGCAATGCTGAAGAAAACCTGGCAGTCAATGAATTAGCCAACGTTGCCACGGATCAACAATGGGCAGATTATCTTCAGTGGGATAATATCATTCATAATGAACCTGACACCCAGGACATTTCCGCTATGGATGTTTGAGCAGATGAAGGTGGTGTCGCACTTCTTCAGCATGCTGGCAGTTTTCGTGGACACAATGATTCATCTGTTATGAGGATTCAGTCATCGTCATCTCCTCATTCAGCTATTCCTGATTATCTCAATGAAAAACAGAGCCTAGCTTTTTGCATCGTCTACAAGTATCTGGGTGAGTGTTACGCTGATCTTCAGGATGTCATTAAGGCGAAAGCTCTGAATTAGATG